CTCGTACATACTAACGATGATTTGAACCAACAGTTTGAAATTTGGATTCATCACTCCATAATTTTCAGTCTAGTTCCTTTGCAGTTCATGCACAACTCAGCTTTTTCCCTTCTTTAGGAATGGCTTCTTGATAGCCACCCTTCAACTCTGACCATGTCTAATGAGCTTTCAGTGAACAGTAAATGGATGAACTGAAGGACAAGAAGTATCTCTTATCGCCTGTGTCAGAACCTGAGAGCAAGAACAGGTCGCTAGTACCAAAGTGTCTAAAGATACTGTTTAAAATTGGTTCTTTGCCAAGCTGTCTGTTATGTGAAGACACTGGTTCATCCCCTTGAGTTGTGGGCCTTTTTTTACGCTTAAATCATTCATGGTGATTCATCAAGTTAAAATTAACGTTTCAGAAATGAGGTATTTTTGTTTCTTTGTTCCTTTTCCCCTCAGAGTAGCCTATAAAAGTTGTAAAAATCAATGGGGACCACAGCAGACATAAGTTCTCAGCTGTTTGACAAACTGCATTCATAAACTGTACAGGTGAGATGCAAAGAAGACCAGACAGGTTTTTTTATTAGAACTAATAAACATAATAGTCGAAGAAAAACTGGACCAGAAATTTATCAAAAGTACCGGAACACTCAGCACATCCAGTAAGTTCTTAATAATTAAATTAAAACCTACAAAAAGACACAATCAGCACATATAGTTCATTCAGTTTAAGCAATGTTTTCACTAAAATGCATGCTCACAAAATGTTGTGTCTCACTCCAATTTCTTATTGTTGCATTTAAAGCTCTATTTGGAAGATCCAACCATGCAAAATATTAGTTTTTGCCATTTGTTAAGTGGTCTTAAACTTTTGATGGGAACTGTATGATCAAATGGTCCAGTTTATTGACTCTAGTAAGCAGATGTGATGCATTGCAGTCTCATTTTATGACACTTTTACTTCACTTTATTTTCAGCTAACTTTTGGAAGTTGCAGAGCTTAATTTTCAGCCTTCATTGCTGATAAAACCATAAATTCATAGACTGTTTCAGCAGCATTAGAGATCATTGCATAAACGTGAACAATTTAACATCCAGCACTTTAGATGTTTTTTTTAAAGGATCAACTCGCTTACTGAAATATTCAACATGTTTGGAAGAGCTGGTTTGGACACTGGCCTGCTTCAAAATTATAGTAAAGAAATATGTTTTCCACAAGGGGGCAGCATTTATCTGTGTGTGGCAAAATGCTACTGGGTCCAACCATAGACTCGCTTTCAACGTTGAGCCCAAAGCGCGCACTTCAAAGAGCCTTTAGTTAATTTCTCCTGATTTTTAATCACAATATAAATATCATGAAATCATTAAAAGAAACATTTTAAAGAAACTTGCTAATAAACGCACTAAGGTTGTATTTTTAACATCTGTCAAGTTTAACATTATTAAGTTTGCTGCTACAAGCAGACACTCTCGCGTACAGTACGCACTGTGATACTCTTAAGCTCCTGGTTCTGGCCACACCCTTAGCACAGCCGACTGAACACGTTGGACCAGTGATGACTCCCAGAGGGTGTGTCCCGCTGCTGTGAAACGCAGCACTGTTCACCAGCACGTCCTCCTCCTCCTCTTCCTCCACCGCCTCCTCCTCCTGTTTTTTAGAAAAAGCTGAAGGCGCCCACACTCAACGCACCAACGCCAGAACAGTGCTCCTCTCTAAGGGGGGGAAAGTGAGAGAAATTCCCAGAGGGTTTGCCCGGAGACTGCTGGAAATTTTCCCCTGGAGTAAAACCTGCCGAGTTAGGATACGTAGAGGATATCAGAGGCTCTCCTGTAACCATGGGGGACGTGGTTTCCTCTCACCTGGATGAGGATAGGCGGGAGATGATTACAGGTAAGATGAGTACCGTTGCGCGTTATAACAACCTTATTACAGAGTTTTGACCATGTTGTTGCCTTTAAGAAAATCGATTTATATTACTTTTATCATCTAAACTGCAGAAATCAAGTATAGACGGTTACTTTTGTGCCACCGCCTTGTAGGTGTGCTTTACTTGAAGGCTTCCCATGAATCTCAACTCCACTGCAGCCCTGTTTCTTAGAGATAATAAGTAGGTTTCCGATGTTGCAGCATGTTTGTATAAGTTATGGACTGACTGCTATTTAAGTCTCAGATTGCTCCACAGAGTGAGCTGGGCAGCAGGTCTGGGCGTCTATTAAAGTCATGCGAGTAGAAGAACAATACAAAGACTGAGATACTTCAATGGATATGACGTGATCCCTGTCCTAGAAGTAGCTTGGTGATGCGCTCGAGTATCAAAACCACTTCAGGAATTTGGGAAAAACTAGTGTTTTTTGTTTTTGTTTTAATGCATGGAGTTCAATCTTCCAGACTTGTCATTTCCTAATTTCCTAAAACTTTTGTGTCAGGGTAATTTCAGCCTCAGCTGGGATGCCCCTTTAGTTCAGGGTTGTAATCCTGTTTGTGTGCATACGCTGGCAGAAGTACTCCTATGAGGAAACCCAGAATTATTCTCTAGAGGCTCAGGCACCGAGTGTGTTTGTTGGATTTTCCTTTTGTGAGCAGAAATAGAAAAAAAGTGGGAAGAATCACCCTGTTAGAATCTGGCTGTTGTAAAAAAAAAAAAGAAAAAAAGAAAAAAAAGGGGTAGTTCACATATAAAAGGATAAATATCAAATGTAACTTCTCAAATATGAGGGGTTTTGTTTTTGCCTTTTGTGTGACTTTGGGGCTGCTGGCCAGAGAAATACATGTTTTCTGCTGTCTTATACTGATCCAAAGTTGATCCAAAGATGTGTGACATTCAGAATGAGCAGAAACTGGGCTTTAGAAAGTACAAGCAAGGTGTTCAATGTGAAAGTTCTTGACCTTAGGAACAAAGCAATCTGGTCTTACTGGCTTTTTGGAGCCCTTAGCCACATGTGCTGGTCTTCATTCTTGAAAGGCGCTCAGTCAGGTATCATCATGTGTCATAATGTAAGGCTTGTTAATGATAAAATATGTTAAAACTATAAAATGTAGGGTCCACATGACTGTGGAAAGCTGCGAGGGTAGAAAATATGACATTTAGCTACATGCAGGCCTTCATCGTTAAAATACGCGAGTGCAGTATTTCCTGCTTATGAGTCCACTCAGAAAAAGATCCATATAAAGAGACTAGTCAGAGGGAGAGGGGAAGATAACAAGTGAAGCAGGTAGAAACATGTCACAGGCCGTCTGACTCTCACACACACACCTCTCTGTGTTGTTCCTGCCAGTATCTTCTACAAATCAACACAGTGAAAACACCCACGTCAACAGAAGACAAGTGAACACCTGTGCATGTCTTTAAAGAAAAAAGAAAACCTTTTTATCCAGGTCCCACTTGTCGATGTGTTTGCACCTTTTAAGTTCGTGTGTGAGACAGGGTAAAGACCAGTCAGCGTTTTTGAGTCAGGAATCTTGTTGTGTCTAACTCCCACAAAGGCAACTACTCAATGATCACCTCCCCTATAGGACCCCCACAGCAACCCCATGTGTGTGACACACATGCAAATCATAACTGCCTGCTGACCCACATGTTCACCCATCTATGGTCTGCTTAAGGCAGAAATAACCAACAGACTCAAACCTTGGCCTAGATATGTGCTGCCTACTATCAAACCCTTGAAATATAAGCGATCATCCTCAAAGAATAAGTTAGTAGATTAATCGTTTCACAGCAGGTTTTAGATAAAAACAGCCAAAGAATTAGAGTCAAATCCAGTCAGCTGTTTCTGGTGATCAGCTGACTTTTCTGGATCGAGTCACAGTGTTCACCTTTGAGGAGCTGCACGTGTTGCTCTGAAATGTGCTACAAATGAAATGAAGATGGTAGCTTTGATGCTAAACATTAGCATGACAGCATTGTTACTGGGAAGAAGAAAAAAAAACTGTTCAAAAATAAAGTTAAAATAAAAAAAATGTATTTATATTAGAGATCAATAGAAAATGAACTAACACTGCAGTAAAAAAGATAAGAAGCTAATAGTTAAATTCAGCAACAAAACATGTACTTTGCCATGTGAGTGACACCGCCCTCTTTTGCCAACATGACGCAAAACAGGTAATTATAAAAAGGGACAACATGCCTAACTCAGGCACACCTCAGACTGTTTGTGCACACGGTTTTATAAATCTGTTGAAAATAATGTTCACGCTCATGTCTGCCTTTTTTAGTTTTATTAGTATTTTACCATTTTTATTCATCTACTCACCTATCTGGCTAAGCCTTTTGATGTTAAACAGTGGATGATGATTGATGATGACGATGACTGATAATGATTGATAATGATAAGGATTGGTGCTTGATGACGACTGATTGTTATCAATCATCATCAGTTGCTGGCAATGATTGATGATAATGAGGGTTGGTAATTGATGACGACACTGATTGACAATGACGACTGATTAATGATAAGTGGTGATGATTGTTAGTGACTGATGATGATTGTTTTCTTTCTCTCCCTTCACAACAAAACTGTAAATCCACTCCTATAAAAAATGCATAATTTGGTTTTTAAGCACTGACAGAATTCATATCCAACTCATCTTTATTAATCATACATTTATTCCACAAATTATTATATTTGCCTTAAGAAATTGTAATTATTCTAAGAGAGCCATGGTATTCAAAGAATCCTGAGCTCAAACCTTGGGCATACTAGCAGAGGAGAACTTCCAGTTGGGAAAAAAACTTCATAAATCTTATTTTGGAACAAAGTCAGCAAACCTTTTAAGCCTTCTTAAATCATGTTTTAAGGGTTGTTGTATACACACAGTTGTTATGCCCCAGTGAGCCTGAAAATTTAAGTCAATTTAGATAATGCTCCAAAATAGCTGCAAAGAAGTGCATGAATGCATTTCAAGTTGGCTGCAGTTTCATTACTTATTGCCTGAAAGAATTTGTCACTGCAAACTGCTTTTCCTTTGCTGTTCTTCAGTTTTCCTACTTGGAAAGATTGTGGGCCCTGCTGTCCTTTGCTAATCTTAAGCCCACTTCAGTGTACATCTACTGAACAATGCCTTTTTGTCTGCAGTGTCCTTTTGCCATCAGTTCCTCCATGCTCTTGCCTACTGTTACTTGTTATTCATTACAAATGCACTTAAAGAATTGAAGGAATGAAAGAAAGGTTTACATCAAGGTCATGAATCTGGGTTATGGGCTTAAGATTTTAAGTAAGTCTGTAATTCTTATACAAGAAAAAAAAAAAGAAAGCTAAAATATGTGGTTTTTTTGTTGGAGGTATTTGTGATAAATTACTTTCCAGCTCAGAGTCTGAAGCTAACCCTAACCATTTCCTGTTTTATTTAATCCTCTAAAAGGACATGCAAACACTGGAAAATACTTAAGTATGGCGTATAAAAAGTACCAAAAGTTCCATTTTTACTCTATTCCATGATGTCACATGTAAAGTAAATAGCAAACAAGAGATGGAGGAGGGTTGTAACAACTATAGCACATGGCTATACAGGTTGAATGAGAGAACCGAGTATGTATTTTATGATGTGGGCTTTGTTTTAATTTCTAAGTGCTCATTTACAGCTTCCTAGTCTGCTGATTTTGGCTCAGCAAGGCGAACGGTGGAAAGTACCAACTCTCTGCAAGTTTGCAGTGGAGGCCACAGTAACCGGAGCGTAATCTAGAGGAAATTTAGCCAGGATAAAGAGAGTTTCCATCCAAAATCAGATATCCTCTGCATTTTTTCTGAGACTAACTGTTCTGAAGGCAGACCCTGTCTGATAAACCCACCGAGGATGAAAAAAAAAATCCTTCAATAAAAGGAATGGAATGACAAACCTGACGAGAGATTCAAAGCCATCGTCTGGAACAATTTAAAGTACTTGCTGATGTTTAGTTTTTCCAGGTGCCTCGCTATCTTGCAGCCCCTTAACCTGCCCTCCCCTCTCATCCTGGTATGTCATGGTGTTTTTAAATGCGTGTCCCTGTCCCCAGTCTCCTCCGCATTCCCTCCATCTATCCTGTCCTGTCAGCTCTTTCCTTCCTGCTCTCCCACTGCAAGCTGGCTCCCTCCTTCCTGCGTTGTTCCTTCCATAAACAGATCATAGTCAACACTATATGCTGCTGAATGAGCCAAAGACACTGATCAGCTCGAACACCAACTCTTTTCCAGCATTAGAACGTGGGAAAAGCCTTTGTCCCCTCCAGCAGCTTCTCAGTCTATTTATTAGGAAGCTGAATGACGACAGATAACAAATCTTGAGGATATGTGGAACACAGAAAAGTCTTTCAGCAATACCAGGAGGCTTTGCTTTTATACAAACAAGGACTTACGCTAACAGATATATTCAGAACTTAATAATTTGATATATACAAACGATGAAGAGAAAGCAGCTGCCATTTACTGGAGCCTGAGCAAATGTTGTCAGGTTTTGGTTTGTCCAGAACCTCCAAACTGCATTAACAAATGTGCACTGTAGTCTGAAATGCTCAAAGAAGTTACAAATGGTTCGTTTGTGTAAACTTAAATATTCCTTTTAGAAATTCAAGTTTGAGTTTAAATATCAGATTTTGAGATGACTTAAAACAAGTTAAAGGATCATTTCAGAGTATTTTTTCTACTGTATTGTGCACTTACCTAATAGTATTTTTTCATGAGAGTTGGCATTATTTCAAGTTATTTGCATAATAAATTATGGACGTTGGCTGAAATATAATGCATGCTCTAATATACAGTGTTGTTGCTACATTTTGCTCTCAAGTTACTCAGGTTGAGTCATATTTACATTTTGCAAAAGTTTTGATTCACCAATCATTTCTTCATAATTTGTTTACAGTGAGGCAGACTTTCTTGTAAATGAATGTGATCTTGAGCAATAGCTCCCCAGGTTCTCTGAAGGTCTTTTAAAGTTTTTCTTTGTTTTTTCACTCATTTTCAGCCCAGTCCTTGTACCTTATCATTGTCAGAGGAATTTCTTTCCTTTATTGTTGTTGATAACACTGATTGTTCAAGCACAAAAGCAGCTAACAGTGTTGTGTCTATATGTAACAGACAACTTCGTAAAGGACGAGTTTTAAATTGTATCTTTAGGCATTTTATTACTAGTAGCCTGTCGCAAAAAGAAAACAATCAAAATAATTTATTCCTATTTCTCTAGTTGAATCTATGAAAGATGCTGAAGATGACAGAGCAAAAGAAATAGTATTTTTCCACCAAGAAGGTGGTTCCCTAAGAACTGTTAGCCAAAATTCATAAGGAAGGGAAAGTGGGAGAAAAGGCTGAGAAACCAAGTTATGAATTCAAATTTGTCATCAATATGTGCAGAGGAGGTCAAAAGAGAGGTGCAACAGTGAGTTTCTACAGCCACCTGTAAAACACGGTGGAGGCTCTGTACTTTAGACAGTGTTGTTGTGGAATTATGAACACAGAAGAGTACCATCAGGTTTAGATCCACTATTCAACGCCACCTGGAAATCATCTAATCAACAGCAGCTTTGTTTTTCAGCATGACAATGACACACAGTGTCAATGCACTAAAAGCATATCTGGGTAGAAAAAGTGCAATGGAACATTATCAGTCATGCACTGACCTCCCAAGAGCCCATAATTAAAGCCCATAATTAAATCCTTGCAATTAAAGCAATGTGGGAACATCTCGACAGAGGATGGAGCAAAAGGCAGCCAACATCCAAAGGAGAGCTTTAAATGACCTTCTTCAAGAAGCCCGGAGAATTATTCCTGAAGATTACTTAAAGCATTTCAAAGGCAGCTTTCCTCAGACAGTTCAGGCTTTGTTGAAGAATAAAGGTGGTCGAACCAAATATTATGAAAGCTACATAGTTTAAACTAAAAATACTTTCATTTATTCATCATAACTGTAGCTCTTTGTTCGTGTTCCTCCTTTTACAGGTTTGTGTGTGTAAAACCAATATTTCCAGCGATGCAGTCGTTCCATAAACTTTTCTTTTGATTGATTTGACTTTTCTTTTGTCTTTTGATTTAAATGTAACAGTTTAAATTCAGTACGATTAAAATGAAATTGAACAAAACAAAGTGTTGCTTTAAAATTTATGTAATGACTGAAGTAATACTTCAGCTGTGAGCCTGTTAGAGCTTCACTTAATACAACGGTTTGTGCCGATCATACATGAGAGGTACCTCTTTGTTGAGCTTTGCCTGAGAATCGCTATCTCAAATGTCCACTTTACATTTTATTATATGGGAGTTTTCATAAAGAACCGATAGCAGGAGTAAAGGTTGAGGCCTTTAAATAAGCAAGTGAAAGAGACAGCGTGCCTTCACACGAGAACAGCAGCTCTTTATCTAACCCAGTTAATTTTTGACAATGAAATTTAAACTGCAGCACTGGTGACTTTTGAAAAACATGCTTGGAATAGAGTGAACCAGTCTGTCCTTTCAGGAATTTAATTTCTTTTCTCTCTGACTTGGGTTGCCAGATTCGAAATAAAGTATTAAGCATTTAAGTAGTATAATTAGGTCAATTTCTGACTTTATAAATCTCTAAAGTTACCATGTGAAAGAAAACTGCAGAACTTATCTTTTGTCCTTCTACCATAAGACATAAGATAGATTGTGTTAATCATGCACTGGTGCAGAAGACGACACTGATTTTGTGTGTGTGTGTGTGTCTCTCCCCCTGCAGCTCGGACCAGAGAATGGATGAAAGAGTTCAGCCAAGTGTACGAGCAGCAGTATGCAGTCGCCCTCTTCAACAGCGTCCGCTTTGAGATAGAAGGAGGAGGAGGGACGCAGTCTCAGCTGCTTCACAGAAAGGTATGACACTTGGTCATTCAATGGGAAAAAAACAAATAAAACAGTGGCCTCCACTGGACCCCCTCAGACCCCCTCTGTTTATATTTCTGAACATTTAATAAAGCCATGCAAAGCACAAGAGACAGACAGGTGGAATAGAGCGTGGAGAGGTGGAGGTATGCTCTGGATAGGAGAGGAATAGAAGTCAGTAGAAGCAAGACAGAATGCATGTGTGTGAATGTGATGGAGACGCGTGAAACAGTGAGCCCTGTGGTCAACCATCCAAAGCAACAGACCGTGCTAAAGAGATGAAGAAGAGAGGAGAGCACAGGCAGGGTGGAGCAGGTGGAAACGAGTGTCAGGAAGGATATCAGTAAAAGTGAAAGAGAGGTTTACAAGATGTTAGTGAGACCGGCCATGACGTGTGGTTTGGAGATGGTGGCACTGACAAAAAGACAGGAGTTAAAGGTTTTATTGGGAGTGAGCAGGATGGACAAAGTAAGAAATGAGTACATCAGAGTTTTGGCATTGTTTAAACATGCACACAGGCGGGACAGCCAACAGACTTTGATGATGCACACAGTGCATGAATGAGGTCATCTTTGGGAATGTACAAGGACATTACCTAATGAGCAAGCCCCCTGTTTTATTTCTAAGCGGTCTTTGTGTTCCCTATTATCTTTGTGGTCACTTGTTGAAGGCTGGATATTTTTTTTTTTTAAATCCATGTTTTCTAACTCTGGAGGGAAAGTGGAGCACATTTTACACACGAGCAGAGGTGCTGTTTCTCTTATGCAGGTTCATCTTTTCTGGTCACTGTGTGGGAGTCAGCTGCTCGTGTGATCCAGCACACAGCAAGAAACTATCCTGTTTCAAAAGACTTTGAGTTATTAAAATGTTGGACTAAATGTGTAAAAAAAACTTTAATATTTAACTGTAGTGGAATCTATTTGAACCCCCTTCCCATTTTTTAACTTATAGATAAATACTTGATTGGTTTCTGAGCTGATCGGGCACTTTTACCCTCCCACTCGCCACCACCAGTGACCCTGCCACAAAATCCACACAAAAGTCTGCAGCTGTTAGCAAACAGAAGCCAAGCCATTTTATAATCATCATTATGTTTTGGGCCTACCGTTTCAGTCGCTCGGAAGCAGTAAGCCTTTGTTTTTTCTTCCTATCTGAGCAATTATTGTTTAATCCAAGACAGGAAAACAAAGTGGGTGGTGTATATCCTTTTGTAAACATGTTTCAGTAAAAAAACAAAAGAAAAACAAAATGAAAACTCCACCCTGTCACGTTTGGAAAAACCTGTTAAGCGTCAAGTTGATTAGTTATGGGAGATTGTAACAACACCCAGTTGTCTCAATAATGCACAGTATACACACCTGTTAGAGTTTGTATCCTAAGGTACAGTAATGCATGCAATCTTTTGTGTGTGCGTTTGCATTTTTCAGGACCCTCTGGCAGGTTGCACCATCTTCTCAGGGAGTCTGTTTCAGTACCTGGAGGAGAATCGGAAATGGAGGAATCGTTTTGTCTTTGTGCCCAAGGACTACACCATAAACCTCTATGAGAGCAAAGCTGTGAGTAAAGCTACTTACGGCACTCGACTTATGTCCGGTTAGACAATTTGGTCACCTGCATGAAAACCATTTCACCACCAACAGGCACACGAACGGGGACTGCACCCAAAATTAACCATCAACTGCGCCGGGTACAAGGCCCTGACGTCAATGGAGGAGTACATGGAGCTGATTAATAAAAGTCTGCCAGGTTAGAAAATAACACACAATATACAGTTGTTAGTCATCAAATTCTGAAATGACTAAGCCCCTTTTAAGATGCAAAGGGCTCAAAATGACTCTCTCTTTGGGTTTTTGTGGTGCTATGCCCACATTGTTTAAGAGTTGTCCACCACATTGGACATAATAAAACCATGGCTTGTAGATATGAAAAAAAAAAGAAAAAAAAAAGAAAGTGAATCCACCATCTGCTTGGTGAGTGCTTCCTGGAGGCTGCTGGCAGTCACTAGGTAAAATCAGTCTCAAGGAGCAGTGCTGTACCAAAAACCTCATGATTGCTTTCGTCCCTAGCAGATTGTGACCATAGTTTTTATTGAAGGTGCAGATTTGTCCACAAATACATGCTAACTAGCCAAGTGGTAGTAAGACCACATGGTAGTAAGTGCAAAAGTTCACTTTCAAAAGTGTGTCTCAGCCTTGCAGCCAACATGTTTCAAAATGTTATTTCTAGTTTGCATTGCTCCATTCACAGTTTCACTACCGCCCAGAGTTGCTGGTGAGCATTTGTAGGTGAGTCATCGTATTCAATGCAAACTAGCCAACTGCAGCAATCTGCTAGCAGCCAGAGCAAGTGCAAAGAGGTATTTCTAACTTGTTGGGGAATACACATTTTTGCCTAGCAACTGGGGTTTCCCAGGAGTCATTGACTCGACTATAAGTCTGTGGGACTGGGACCTTATTCGTTTAACCTTATAATGTGACCATGATTGTCCGTACATCTATAATGGTGGAAAGTTATCACACGATTAGCGTGTCTACAAAAATAAATACTTATGTCATTAGTATCTTTTTCCCCCTCCACAGTTTGTCGGATTGTTATAGTAATATTAAACATCATTATTTCCCTCTCCTAAAGTGCTTTTGAAATCTCAATTCATCATCTGGTCCATTGCAGGTGTCAAGGCCAAAGTGGGCAGTAACCCATTCATCAAGTGTGCAACCGGGTTCCCCCTCATCCTGTGGCACCCATACGCCCGCCACCACTACTTCTGTGTGATGACTGAGAAGGAGCAGAAGAAGTGGCACGCTGTGCTGCAGGATTGCGTCAGAGACAGTAACAATGGTAACAATGCAAACACAAAGCAGCACATAAATCGGAAGTGACAGAAATGACTAGAAAGCCAGAGGCTGTGTGAAGTTAATGCAATTCGGATCATATGTACATCTTCTGAGCATGAGCAGTGTTTCTCTCTCTCCACCTTGGCAAACCTCGCTTCCTCTGTACCTTTGTTGGCAGTTCCGATGAGGGTGTGTGTCACAGTGTGAAGCTTTTACATGCCATCTGAGTGAGCAGGTCGATCTGTGCACATGAAATGCTGAAGGAATGGGGTGTATCTGTTTTGTAAATGTTGTTGCCATTGGATCAGATCTACACTCTGTGCATCATTTACAGTCAAGATGAGCATCTGAAACGCTCAAATAGTAGACAACATTAGAAACACAAGAGAAACAATTCTATGTTTGAGAGAAAAGTAGCTTTCTGGTTTGTTTTCTAGGCTATTTTTGATGGTTGAAGTGCAGAGTATCACATAGTATTGCCATATCATTTTTTAGCACATTATCAAATTTCTACATTATGCTTTCTAAAGAATATTGCCAAATCATGCTTAAGCACAAGGTCAACCCCCAAAGTCCCATTCCAATTACTTTGTGCCTTAAGGAAATGGATAGGTACAACGTGTGTGTACAACTTGAAGGCTAACACAAAGCCACAAAAGACAGAAAAACACAACTACTGCCAGTTTAGAATAATTGGATGTCCTACGCCTCAACATGCATGTCAGAAGAATTTCGAGTACTCTGAGGAAACGCAGCTACAGGGAAGACTAGTTAACTAAAGCTAACCTATACCAACGTGCTGCTGCCCCAATTCATTTGTGAACTATTTGTAGTTAGCCTCAAGTTTCCAAACACTGTAACTCATATGTCACTATTTAGAATGAATTAATGAATAAGTTGAACTGAAACTCATTGTTAAATGAGAAATTTCCCCACTAAGACATTACAATACAGTTGCTGCCTTCACTGAGATCCTTTTTATAGTTTTTGTTTGAGCTTTATGGTGTTCTGGAGGATACAGCACTGTTGGCACTTTTAGCATTTCATTTCACAGTGAAAGGATTGTTTAATTAGGGTGGATGACTCCTCTTCATATTAGTTTCTTTCTTGCAAAAGTGTGACTCATGTGTCATTGTTATTAAGACAGAGATGAGACATCCTGGAGGATGTGCAAACAACAGTGTAATACATTTATGTGTGTGTGTGTGTGTGTGTTGCAACACTCAGCTTTCCAGGACTATTTTGAGATTTACGTTTTGGAAGCACCGTGATATAAATGACCCGCCTTCTTCCAATAGCTAATTTGCACATTGGCTGCAAAGTCGAGCTCTGATTGGCAGGAGGAACACGGGCACCAGTTTCTGTGGTATGACTGCACGTGCATGCAGTCTTACATTCAGCGTGCCTCACTTGAGATGAGATTGTATTTTTCATTTTTTTTCAAATACAAACTTGAACGATTTGCTGCTGCACTGAAAGTGATCTAGCTTGTTTGGATCCTCTCGGTTGGCAGAGCATGCAGTTAAGTTGTCCCTACTTGTGTTTTAAGTAAGTGAGTGCATTGATCACATTAGGTGTCACTGTAATAATCAAGTCACTTGCATCAAATCACTCAGCAGAAAGATGCCAATCACCCGTGTGTATAGTTTGTACAGCTGTATCCAATGCAACTTAAGCAGTTCTGCGTCACGATTAATGCAACTAAACTTCGTTCACAGAATTTAAAATACTAAATAAATGGCGCCAAGATCCTCACCGGGCTGACAAAGTTGCTCAACCTGATTCAGTTTCTTTCAGGCTTGGCAGAAGAGCCAACCATTTTGCCAGCCAATCATGTTGCATGAATTCAAGCGTTGTGCTTAACCACACAGTACGATGCTCACAGCTGTTTGCATTTGTATTCATTTAAATACATCCAGCGTGTGATGTATTTAGTTTCTCTGTACCTTCTGTTCCAAAAAAAGGAATTAGAAGTCAGCAACTGACTTTTTTGATCAACTCTGTACCAACTCACCTGTTACTCCCAAACACTGCCTGTCTGGGCATGCTCAGTAAGTGTCAGAGTCTTTGCCGCACATTCCAAGGTTGGGCTTAGCGAATATGTTGTAAGCAGCACAGGGTCCCCGTGGCTGTTAAAGGTAACCTCGCTGCTCTTTGGGTGTGTGAACTTGTATTCATGTTTTTTCTGCTTTGTGCACACATACTGCTTCACTTCAGTGCTCTGAGGACAACCAGATGGCATAAAAGACTCTGCTTGGGAAGAAGGATATATGGTTTTCTGTCTTGACCTTTGCCCTTTTAGTTCTTAGTATTCTCATTCAGTCATACAAATAGACAGTAGTTAAATGTCTCTCTTTGACATATTTGAAGGTAGAGTTTACATGTATGTACTCAAGTTTGAAATTATGATCGATTTAGGCAATTAAGCATAAAACAGACCGTATTAGTCACGGTACAGAGGATAAAATGGTATCAGCATAGATGCTACATGCAAAGCTGTCCTTAACGGAACACAGACACCATTCAGCTGGCTTTGATAAGCGGAAACCACAAGTTAAAATGTTCACGCTGACACACCAAAGGCATATTTGAATGCACTAAAGTTCTTGTTGCTTTAGCCCTAACAATTCTTCTATAAAACAATTGGGTACTGTTTTGCATCACCTTAACAGGGTGATTTGCAAAGCGCCCTGCTAATCAGCTCCTCTAACAGGTGACATCATCACCAGCACATGTCATTGGTCAGCATTTTAAGCTCAGTATTATACTACTATGCTGCTGAGAGATGGACCTACAGCAGCTGGATGTTCTCAGTGTGTCAGAGAGGCTAGTGATGTAACGTGTGCATGCATGAAACCAAAAGCTGGTCTGAACATGTTAAAGTGACTACACGCCAGTCACTTTGACACATTTTACACACCAGTTCTGCTACCAAGATGGGATGTGGCAATTCACCCTTATAATTGAGCTATCACTATAAGAAATCAGCAGCTAGGCATGCTTTCAGGCACGTTGTCAGTTCATTCATTTTAAATCACAGAGTTCCAAAGTTAAACGGGACCCACACCATGTAATTATGTTCCTGATTTTCTGTCATACATCTGCACTTTTAACGATGGTGGAGGCTGATGCTAAACATGGAACTAAGGCACACTGTGGCATTGCCACCTAGCTGTTGTTTAAACCTTCAGTGTATGAGGGGCAGCCAATAAGATGAGGTTGAAATTTGGTGCCATCACTGACATCCAGTTAAACTGCATAAAACTAAAACCTCAGGACTTAAAGATTTATTTTAAAGACACACTTAAATGTGAGAGTTTGGGCTTTTCTGGAAAGGAAACCAAGCCAACATTTCAGTTAAGTGATAAAGGAATACAAAAAGAAATCTGTCATAAGGAAAAAAGGACAGGAAGTCAGGATGTAGAAAAGTGAGGAAAGGGTCAATTCAATCTTTACTTCAAAAGAGTATGAGAATAAAAATACAGGGATGGAAATGAGCATGAAAGGTCCACTTTAAGGTGTCACGTCATGCACTCAAATGTAGTGTGCAACCACAGTCTGTGTCCTCGAGTTTCAGGAAAGAACTGTCCCTGCCCCTACTCCACTGTAGTTATCCTCATAGAGAGTAAAATGTGGTAATGACTGAAGGTGGACCTGCTAGAAGACTACCCTGTGTAAATCCAGAATTTTATTTTTACTTCACTAGTTAGAAGCAACTAAAAGCACTTTGATCTCATCACCATTGATCTCAGTTTATAATTTTACATTATTTTTGCATCTCAATGATTTAAATGCAAATCAAGATATTTCCTGATAATTCAAATTATTATTTCATCCCCAAATTGGTTTAGTTTTGTTGCTGTTTGACCTGCAGAAAGCTGTCCATGCTGCAGGGAATCACAGTCATATAGTCAAAGCCTGCTTCAAGCTTCCCGCTAGAGAACCATCAATCGTGGCCAACTCTCCACACCCACAGCCTCCAAAACCAGTCAACCATCCTCTGCTCTGATCCACAGACCACAGACTAATTAACTGAACAGGAACAGACCTACAATGGGAAAATTCAGAGAACAATAAATCCAGGTTTATAACTAAAGTAGAAGTTAAAGTAGAAGAGCATGGCGCTTCTCTGCATGCAATGTAGTTCAAAATAGAGGCATAATGGATTACATGGCACTGTTACCATACATCATGCTGTGCCAACATGCAAAATGAACAAACGCAAGGCCTCCTGCATTCACTGCTGCTGGCCTCAAGAGTTTAAAATGGCAGGTTAGGACCTATTCAGTCATGGTTGTGAAGTCTGCAGCTGATGGTATGTTTCAGCGAGTGTTTACTGTACTGTGGGTTTGGCTGGTTCCACGGGTCTGCACCATATGGGGAAATCCTACTCATGCATGTCAGTGGAAGCAGCAGCAGCAGCAGCACTTTGACTCAAAGAAAGAAAGGAAATGTTGGAAAACCTCTTTATTCTGAAGCCCGGTGGTCTGAAGATGAAGTCTCAGATCATCTTTGACTTGTCGAATAAATAAAAAGAGAGACACATTTGTCAAGATGAAGGCCTGGGAACTCAACTCCTGGCTTCTGCTACAGTCCCGTCAACCAGAGCATGGTGAGAAAGGCAGGGAGGGGAAATGCCTTAAATAAAAAGAGCGTGGTAAGTGCTGCCACATGTGCTATTTATACACAGTACACAGACACACAGTGCAAAGAAACTCTAATCTACTCCTTGATCTAGCTTGGTTCAGACACATGGCGAATGTGTAGCGGTTTACTGGCCTGGCAGATTGTCCAGAAATATTTCTTCTTTCTCTTGGCACCAGCAGGACATTTCTCTTTAAAAGGGCAACAAACTGGGAATGCAGCAAATTTACTTTTCAAGAAAATCACACTGGTGATGTGGTCCCAGTGGACCACATCACCAAGGGGGCAAAAAACCTGCCATCTATTCTTTAACTTCATCTGGTACGCACTTGTTTAGCTGCTCATCCTGAATGGGGTGCATTCTCATTACTGTTAGCAAGCTAAGAGGAGTTGAACAGAACGTCAGGGATGCATTAGCTCATCCAGTTCATGATCTATTGCAGTTCATGTGCAGTTTAATTCCCTGCAATGTGTGAAGAACAGAAAGAATGTTACAGGTTTTGTTGCCATCAGTTGGCTTTACAAACAAATTCAAATAGTTTGAAATTAGAATCACTGAGAAGTCAAGGCCCAGAACAAATGAATGTAATTTTACTAAAACCTTACCATTGCTCTTGAGGAGTGGTGGCTTTTGTGAATTGTGGAAGGACAGACTGATGACAGATGCCTCACATTCGCATGAGCTCATTGAATGATCTAAAAATAACGACATCATGACATATTTCAGATTTCTTGCTTTGAGGTAGGGCAGATAAGACTGTGTGTAGGATGTACTGAAATATCTAATGATCTGTGATACAGTAACATTAGGGACTGTATTGAGATGCAGCTTCTCCAATGTCCCAGTGAGGGAGCCATTTTATTATTGGTTTCTACCAATATTGTGACAACGCGTCTCATATAAGTGAACACTGGGGCAAGTTTTTAAACATAATTAACGAGGTACATTTTGCATTTACCACCTACAGAATTTAGGTAAAACTTTCACCAGCAGCATTTCACACATGGGTGGGTTGAGATGTTCTCAGCTGTGTGCTGCTATTTAACTGCCATTTCTTTGAGCTACCCCCATTTCCTCAAGGGGCTTGGTCTTTGGCCAGGGCATAGTTGTAGATAGGAATATGCTGGTTAAATAAAGGTTACCTTGACTCACTACACCATCTGGTGGTACAGATCAGTATTACACAAAATTACAGCCCGGTTCAACCACAGCTAATATCTCTTCGACACAATACATAAACACTTTTGGCAAAGTTAAAGCAATCGTAGCTTTGTCAGTCATTCTTTTGGTAGTTTGTTACTCTGGATTTAAACAAAACACACGTACCTTTAAAAAAAAAAAGAAGAATAAAAAAGCCCAAGGCAGCGGGTATGATGTCACCCGGTTGATGATTGAGTAACCACAAGTTGTGTGTCTTATACTTTTGAAGAGTTGCTCTAAGCTGAACTAGGGGACAGTTAAATATCAGGTGCAGCATAATAAACACCTGTGCGCGCTTATCTAACCATCACCCAGAAGGGAATGCAGCTTTATCTTTCAACAGCATGCTGGCTGTAGAAGAAAAACTGAAATGTGAAAGAAAAAAAGGACCCTACTTCATCTCTGGATCATGAACGCCATTTGTTGTTAATTACCTTCATTTAACCGTGATGTGAAAATGTTTGACATTAAAAATTACTGCTACGAGCATGGCCTGGGATCAGATGAGCAGAATGACCCTAGTCTGTTTTTAACAATGGGAAAAACTGGAGCTCGTGGGGGAAAAACCCACACATGTACATGAAGTCCACACAGAAGGGCCCTACATTTCAACCCTGGGCCCTCTCAATGGCTATTCACTGAGCTTTAAAAGGCCAAGTGGCTAGTTATTATCGCCACATTAACATTTTATGGGTATGATTACAGTTGCTGTATAAAATCTAGCAGTCTTTTTTACTAATTTAGGGTTGTCTATTTGAAAAATATCCATTTTGCTCTATCACATCATATTTTTTGCAATTGTAAACGTGATCCAGATATTTTTTGCTTTATCTGTGAATGCTTTTTCACATCTAAACAACAACAAAACTTTACTGATTTTCTGAGAAAGGAATATTTGTATTATTTTGGTATGAAATTGTGACAAGACAAACGACGGGCACATCATTGAGTTTGTCGGGCGAGTGTTGAAAACTTCAAGCATCAGCTACGGAAAAAGAGGAGCTTGGGTTTCAGAGGGAGTCACTGAATCACTATGATGACTGCTACTTCTGTTTAGTCAATATTTCTGGATACAGTTACAAAACTAAATCATCTATCAGTTGCTCTAACTTGAGACCTGTGCTGCATTCAGATGAAATAACACCTCCCATATTTACCAGCTTAGTCTGACTGACTTTGAAGATCAGTATTCTAGTAGCCCATCTCCCTCCCAAAGTTATTCGCTCAGCAGCTGGAAGCGACTGAGATGCTGGAGTCAAGGCCATCCAAATGGTCTTTTTATGGACACCGTGAGAAGGATTTTATTCTGTTCTTATAAATGAATGACAACACCGTTATGTTGATGTTGAAGGTCTTTTGGGGTCAGTGGGTTGTGAGTGTAACGAAGGCGAGTGGAGGCTGTTCAATTATAGCTGAAACGCCAGCCTAACATGCGTCCTACTGCTCAATGGCAATTACTTTACATCCGAGGTTATTCTGTCCAGTTAAAATAAACCTTTTGTTTATCATTGAATCAACCACTTTCTTGAAAACAGCAGAAATTGTATTCTTCCACATGGCGACAGTTATCACCTGTCTGGTAAACCATAAAACAGCGTTTCATTGCATTTCACATCCTAATGACAGCTTACCACCTGTCAGCATCGCAGCCATCTTAACTTAGTGCCACCAATGTGCTTCTAGCTTCAGTGCCCAATGACTTCTCATTAAAACGTGCCAAAACAAACCAGGGACCCCGGCCCTCAGCTTTTCATCAGAATTTGTTCGCTGAATGCTTCCTGTCTGGCTCTGCCCCTCCCCCTCCTCACTCCTTCTTGGTAACTTCCTGTCTTTGTCAACCTCGTCTGAGTCAGCCACGGAAGAAACACTCACATGGGGATGGTGGGCCTTGTGCACTGTAGACTTCACAGACAGCAGTTCACTACTCAGGAATGCTCGGGCTAACAAACCATTCATCCATTTGTAGAACAGGACACTTTGCTACTTCGGTTACCTCATTACTGACACTTCAAGACAAGTCAGCGTCACGGAAACAGTAGGAATAAACACTGAGAAAGATGTTTTGACAGGCTCGAGTACACAGACAGGTCTTGACAATGTTACACAGTAATACAGTTAAGAGGTCACCTGATTTTTAATATATTAATGGTTGTAATGGCTGAGTTGGCACAACCTGCAATCATAAACATTATTGGTATAAATTCTACTGGCACAAAGGTCAGCATGTAAACATGAGGAAATTCTTGTATTTTTTCCTACCAGCTGATCTTTCTCTTAAGCTGAACACTGGTGTCAGCAAACAACATGGCCTTTAATGTACACCACCAAGTTTGTGCAGACTTAACAATGAATGTGATGAAACCTGATAGACTTTAAAATCCAATATATATATTTTTATAAAGTTTTTTTAGTTTCTTTGTTTCAAAAGGTGAAAAAACTTAAATATCAACACAGATATTTAGATATTTTATACAGTTAGTATGTGCATAGTTTTTAAAAAGTCATGGAGCATTTAGGGTTGATCATTTTATTAGAAAATTCTATATAACTGCAGTATATCTATTTCAAATAATGTGATAAATACTAGTTGATTTTGTCATAAATAATAGTACCAGACTTTGATCATGTTTAAATATTTAAAACTAAAACATAAAAAAGAACAAATTATACTTTTCTAAATGTATTTTTTTCCAATCTTGGCTCAATCAAGTAAAAGTGTTTACATGTTCCGAGTCAGGAAGCAGTACCTTGCAGGAATGGGGTCAGCTTAACCCACCACACCTTGGCCCTTGGCTCCACTGATGATGCAGAAGCAGCAGACAGCAGGCTTTGGATATTCTGGAAATAAAAGTTGTGCTTGGGCTAAAGGCCACATTGATTTTCTGCACCATGTTGTAGTACAAAGTGGTGTTGCTTGAAAGCAGAGCCAAGCTGTAGCACAACTTTAGCCAATATCTTGTCAACATAGGTGTTTTTGACAAAGTAACAGCAGTTGGTTCTTCACATTCTGTTTTAATGAAACATTCTGTGACATTTTGAATGTATTTTTAAAGACAGAAATTTACAATATGTAATTTTAATGAAAGCCTAGTTGGAAAAACAAACTGTAAATCACTTCCTTAATTACAAAGGACTGCTTCTTTCTTGTTGCCAACAGAGAAAACACAACTGAAACATTGGTTACTTTTATTGAAAGGGAGAACTGCTCTGAATAACAAGCTGCTAATTACAGGGATGTTTTATTCCACACACCTGTTTATACTATTGTGTGGGATTCATGACTTTCCGCACTCAGTCCTTTTATGCTCCTTGACAATAAGTGAGAGAAGCCGCGCTTGACTTCAGCTCCGGGTGTATTTTCATCACACCAGCTACAAGATAAGAACAAACTTCCTAAAAAATGCACGCATGTGGCCGAGTGCTTTCTGAGCCGTTTCTATTGTCCTGTCAACTGCGAGGGGTAGTAACTATAGCAACCATATGAATCTGTCCTTCAACAAACCAGCTACTTCCTGTTTTGAGAGATGACACACTCCAGGAACCGTGACTGAATATACCGCTGACCAAAATTAGGCTCCCAGACTGTCCCACAGAGTGACTCAGATGTGATGGAAACAGTTTTTGTTGGTGTTGCAGAAACTGTTGCGATAAAGCAGCACCACACCCTTTATTCTGCACTACAAAGACATCATCCAGCACCCAATTACTAAGACACTTTTCAGTCTGCTGAGTATTCTCATGAATAGAGAAAGGATGATATCTTGTTTCTCAACTTTTGCCCATTTCTTCCCTGCCCCCGACAGGTCTGCCGGAGAACTGCACTGTTAAGACGCCGGCATTCACCGACGCTGTGAGACTCCACAGACAAGCCCGAGGACAATACGGGACCTGGGATATGATGTGTGGAACACCACCACAGGTTAATCACAAATAAATCGCAATACCATACACATTTCCACAGCACCTACAATGAGTTATAGATATTTTATATACTTTGTGACAGTAAATAGTGTGAGCAGATAGACTAAAGGCCTTGTTCTGCTCTGGAGAGTCACTTTGAACTGCGGTACCACTCTGACCAGAACCTTCAACACACAGAACTGGTTAATGTGCTGGGAAACAGAACAAGGACTACTGGCAGTCCAAGAAGCCTATAAGACTGTTTATGGAGAGGATGTGGAAGACTGGCACAAAAGTAACTAGCAGTAGGGAAAATATGTAGGCCTGAGGCTAACTGCTTAATCACTAGTAAGTGGATCGTGGGGATCCTTCTCTTAAATAGATTAAAAATGCTGAATGAGTCACAAAATGCAGTTGGGCAGCAGTCAATATACCTGGCTGACTAATCCAAGTCAGACATTATCCCACAGTTTTATTTGGCCCCCAAAAATCCGGTGTTTCGATGAGGGGGGATTATTTTTTAAATCATTTCTGTTAAAATGGCTTTTGTCAAGTCAGGCAACACAGAAACTAACTGCTGAAAATGCTGACCTGTAATCATAAACTTTTTGTGCACTACATAATGCCACAACCTGGGTATCTAAACCCTTTACCAGTGGCTGACGTTGCTTGTGGATGTCAAATTAACATAAATACATGTGAAAAAAACTCCAGCCGGGGCACAAAGAATGAATGATAAGCGCCTCATTTCAGGAAGTTTAACTCTGCTCGCAGATTCTGTCAGGGAACAGTTTTCCGGGGCCACACCTTAATTTCTTTCTGTGCCGCTGCTCTGACACCAACTCAAAATAACAAGACTGCTGCAGGTTATGGTTAAAAGACATTTTCAGGAGCAATTCATCTTTCTCTGCGAGTAGCTCAGAGTGCAGGTCAGGGCTATAGGTGAAGCTGTTGAGAGGCCACGATGACGAATGAAACACACACCCTCTCCTCACATCAGAGAGCAAGAATGCACCTACACAAATCCAAAAACACCTCAACCCACATACCAGCAATTACAAGGACCTAGTCTCAGTCTTTGCCAGAGCCGAGTACAGCCCTGTGTTTATGGCAGCCACCTTTTAGCTATAAACACTTTCAGTCTGAATGTCAGTTTAATATTTAGTTTTCCTGAACATTACAGTGTTTACTCCATGCCACATGGACACTGAATAGAAATGTGACATAGATGTAGGTTGGGCTTTTCTACTGTTAAGGGGCCAAATGTTCCTTTTATTTCAGTCTAACAGAGACGCTGGCATTAAGGCTCATGCACGTAATGCTACAAATACTTTGGATAAACATCTAGAGGGAATTAAGAGAGAAATACAGCCAGTTTATGCAACCACTTTTATCCTTTGCTACAAAAACCAACTAAAATAATTCTGAAAAAAACCTTTTGCAGAGTCAGTGCCTCCAGGTAAAATTTCCTCATTGTTCCATTATGTAAAGTTCAATGTTTTCAGGCCTAATTTCCAAGTAGAGATGGAGCACCATGGGTAATACAAAGGAATCCTTTGTATGGGTTCAAATGTTTTCTTAATTGAAACAGATGGCAGGGTTATGTCTCCAGGGTATTTATTGAGATGTAGTCAATCATTTTTCTGATTCCCATTATATAGCTTGGCCTTTTACATTTATTATAAGGGAAAATATGAAGCAAACACTCACCAGTACCTCTGTGGTTAAGATTAACCTTCCACTAATAAAAGCCATGCACCCTGATGCTAAATGGGCTGTTTGAATTTTCTAAAGCAACTTAAAAACATTAACTTCTACTTAAGACCAGTGTTGTCACTGAGCCAGTAGGAAATGTCTGGGGGGGGCGGGGTGACAAAATCTGCCCCAACACTCATTATATTCAAACAATCCAAGTAGCTGTGTGAAAACAACAAGCAGTGAATGCAGCACACAGGTAGCTGGAAGCGGCATTAACAAGCCATAAAGCATGAAACAGGCTCACTGGGGAAATATAAGTTGACCATAACTGAGCCATTGTCATTGTTATTAGTGGTGTGTGCTGTTAGCTTTATGGTTTACTTGCAGGCCTACAAACGCAAACAGAGGCAATGAATACAGTTTGCAAGCAAACATTTACTGACCTTGTTGAACTCATGGAGGCACAGAGAGCCTAAAAATCCCCTCCAGGTGTCGTTCAAACTTGACTGGTGATACAGCCAGAACATCAAACTCGTTCTCCCACAGAACAGGCCTCCAGCAGTATACTCATATTGCTGGTGGACTAACTCCTCAATGAAATGCTACGTTAGCAACAGCAGATTAGCATGAAGGATCAAATCAGAGGGGCAGGGCTTTAGTGGTTTAAATTCAAGGCCTTTCACAAAAGGGCCAGAGTTACCATGGTAACTAATTGCAGGTATATGTCTAGGCTAGCTATGAGGGTTTTTATTTGTACTGTATTTCAAATATTTCTCTGGCAGTGTGCTAGTGCTAGTTTTTGGCAGTATCCCTTTAAAAATATCCAATTTTAACCTACTACAGTAAATATAGAGACAAACATGGAATAACACCCCAAATAACATCAAATGTTTGGTCTAAATGTAGCTTTAGACCAAAATTTTGACTCTGACTGCCTCATCTAGCTCTGGTTTATGAAATTCGGGCTACATCTGATCTGGTGTCGCACTTTATATGTGACTGCATTTGTATCCCACATTTTAACCAAAGACGCAGACAGAACAGCAGTTGAAATAACAGTTAACAGTTTGAACAGTTATTGCGACAGAAAAAACAAAGACCTTTACTTTCCATTAATGCTTGCTGTAGGATAACTTTCATTTTAATCTTGATATCAGTGAGCCTGTTTGAGGTTGAATAGGGTCGGCTTTTATGGCCATTTAAAGTCAAGTTATACAGTGAAGGATAACATATCAGCAATCAGTAGAGCAAATATACTACAGAAAAAAAACGCTGCTGGATTTCAGGCTACAACATATCTGTTATTTGTAAAGCCCACTGCGTGGAAAATCTATGCTGCTTTTGTCTGGCTGTTCATTACCCAGCAACATAGCCATCACCAAATATTTAGTTTAGCTTAGTTAAAGCATCATGGAGGATCTGAGCTTCGTGAGTGTTTGTCAGTTGTGAGGGCAGTGCCAGTAAAAGCAGCCTTCCTGCCTCCCAGTGTCCCACTGTGTTCATGTAGCCATACAGGAAAGAGGAGCTTATTTTTAGGCTCTATTTTTTTGTTTTGCTTTAGCTGGTTGGCATATAGTAACTATATCATCCTGTTAGCTGTGGACAGGCAGATGATTTCATTACTCATAGTATGAAATTTTTGCAAGTCAATCTAATTATAAATCTAAAAGCGTTTATTCCACGTGTTGTGTGTGCGCAGATTTTGGCTAATCTGGTGATGGAGACCCTTCACCCTGACATAAGAAACATGATCGTCCCTCGCCTGAAGGGGAAGATGCAGCAGAGGCAGAAGAACTGGATGCTGGTGAGTTTCTGTCAATCTGTACAGTAAACTTGTAAAAAAACACACAAGTCAACCAGTGCAATCCATTTATGCTCTTGAACTCCTCCAGATATCGGATGCCGTGTACAAGCAGGTGTTGACTCAGACCACCGGGCAGTACGAAGCTCTGGTTGAAGCCTGCGAGGCCCAGAGAGGCCCACTAGACGCCAGGCTGCGAACCGATATGGACCAGATCATCACGTCTAAAGAACATGTCAGCAGCAAGATCCGAGGTATCAGCAGGAAGATATTCCAGTTTCAGCTGCCACAGACATAAAAAGTACCCCAGCTAGATTTCCGTACACTGCCTCAGTTTACATCCTCACTCGTGTGTATGCAGGATGCTGTTGAAAATGGTTCACTCGGTACTCGCTGTGACTTGACACGTAACCCCCTCGATCACAGATGTGTGCTCTATTGTTCGCCCACTATTTGACTCAGTGACATGTAGCTGTGGATTCTCTGAATCAGCGGTTTTGGCAGAGAGGAGTGATTAGTCTGATCACCGCATGCTCAAAATTCTGAAAACCCTCTTTGGACATTTAGTAACAGGTCCTGTAACTCTGTAACTAAACCTCCCTCCTTAGCAGGCATTTTCCACTTCTTCTGGCGTTTGCACATTGTTGTCACAGCTTGTTTTGCCCACTGTAACTTACATATTGCTTGGCGTGCTGAGCTCTAAAGCAGCAGAGTACCCGGTCTTTGGCGCAGGCTGGTTGTTTCCTTCGTGTGTACCATTTCCCACTGAGCTCCCACTGAGTGGAGGAACTGCATTCCTTCACCAGCACTGCAAAGGCCATTTCTGACTTTGTAAATCAACTGAGCAAAATAACAAAGGGTTATGTAAGGGATGTGAGGCTTATGCATGGCTTCATCAGGTGTAACTGTAGCTATGATCTATTTTTATATTTATATTTTTTAGCATCTGCAGTTGGATTGCGTTACACTGGGTAGAAAACCATAAAAACAAAAGGTGTGGCCCTTCCATGGAAGCAGCATTAGTGTGTTTACTTAAATGTCACCACATGCATACCAACCATTTCAACGACCAAATAATATCTCTGATATTGTTGTGACTTTCTAGCACAGCTCATTTGAAGTCTGTGCCACACCTTTGTTTTTCTTGTCATCAGCATGCGTCGCTTGTTTACAAGCTTCAGTAACTAACTACTTTTTACCCCTTCTTCCATCCTTCTATTGCTTCTGTTGTGCAGCTCTAGTGCTGCCAAAAGCAGAGCAGATCCTGCGGACCAACATCCAGCCCTACATCAACTCCATTTTGGAGGCGCTGATGGACCCCACTAGCCGAGGTTTTGCCGAGGTCAGGGATGTTTTCTTCAGGGAGATGGTGGAGATAAGCAAGAACTCACTCAACGGAGGGGGCAAAGAAAAAATGGGAGAGGTTAGTGCCTGAAAAGGCATGTCCAACCTGCGTTATCCTAAATCAGAAGTCAGCCAAGTTGTTGTTAGCTTTCCCTCTCCTTGGGTCAGTTGCACTCACCACATTGCTCTTCTCTTTCTTTCTTTCAGAACATGGAAAGGCTGTCAATGCTTGCCTTCCATCCAGTGAAAATGCAGAGCTGCTACGAGAAGGTGGAAGAGCTCAACCTGGAGGGACTGCAGCAGAGGTTCGACGTCTCCAGTCCATCTGTGTTCATCAGCAGGGCTCAGATCCTTATGAGGGAGGTAAGATGCAACAAGCCTCCTCTGTAATATGATGGGAAATATTAGTTTTAATCACACACTCCTGTCAGGCTCTCTGACAACACTCCCTGCTCCTCAGTAAGCTATAATACAGCAGCATCCACACTACCTCTGCTGAATTGTCTACCGCCACCTGCTGGCCAAAAAAAGAATATGCAATTTGAATCTGAGTTGTGGCACACCTAACCTTTTTATAATGATTTCATTTTGACAGCAAATGGACAATGCAGTGTACACATTTGAACAGCTGCTTAACCAGTCGTTAGAGGCCCAGGGAGACAGTGACATGTGCAAGCTCACCCAGAGATGCCAGGACAGAGTTCTCAAGGTAAAACACGAACACATGGAAAGATCAAAAGAGGAGACGGTCAAATACATATATATATATATATGTATATATGTATATATATATTTTAAAATGATTCTTATATTGGTCACAGTTTCCAGATTAGATATTCCAGGAAAAACCTGTTTGTGTTAATGATGTTTGAGTCAATCAAAGTTCAAATGAACTCAAAGCAGGTTAATTTGATGACTGTCTAAAGAGGAGAGGATTTTACAGCAGCACAGAATAAGTGTTGAAAGGTCTGAATCGCTCAAGGTAATTCATGTCCCTAAGCTATGTTTGTGTTTCTGGTTTTTCCTGTCAGAAATATGACTATGACAGCAGCACGGTGCGCAAGAAGTTCTTCAGGGAGGCTCTGCTGCAGATCATCATCCCCTACATGCTGCAGCAGCTCGCGCCATCCTGCTCACCTGTGAGTAACACTTGAAATAAAAGTGAATGAACTGTCTTACAAACTTTTCCTTACATATAATTACATATAATTTATGGGATTTGAAGGATAAAAACTGTAAATAATAAAACACAAGTGGCATACAATATATGAGTGGGTTGCAAAAGTAGAAAATTTAGTACCTATGAATCACCACAGCAGCAAATGTACATTTGAGGGGAAAAAAAGGCATAAATATCATAGGGAAAAAAACAAAAATAAAAAACCTGTTGTCATCCTGTTTCCCCATCCTATTTACTTTATCAATATGATGCTTGTGTCTAATCTAGAACCAGTCCCATGACTATCAAAAGAAATTCAGTGATTAATTTTTGTCTCACAATAGCGTTCAGTTTCCAAACTAGAAGACAAGTTCTCATAAATCACTTAAAGAACAGGTTTTGAACTGGCACCAGAACTAGCGACAATCACTGAATCACGTCGGTGGAAAAAGAGGTAGCGTAGTTAAATGGCTGCACAGTAGGCAGACGTGTTTCTAAAAGGAACTTTTGCCATGAGTAATGCTTGAAGCTTTTTTGTGAACTGAGCAGTTTTCAATCATATTTCAGCCCTGACCAGAGAACAAAAGGACTGTCTACTAGAAGTTAGAGAGGGGGATCTCCTCTTCTGCAAACATTTGGACTATCCCAAAAACTGCTGCAATGGTCATCAAAAGATGTCTTTACTGATAAAATACTGACTTGTCATTAAGGATACAGGGAGCACATAAATGTCGTCTTTATGAGGGGAAAAAAAAAAAGAGTTGAGGATGCATTTAAAGAGCATTTTTGAGAGTTATGATTTCAGCCTCACCTGCTGACCAACTAAAAGGATTGGTGCTAGAAACGACATCCTGGTCTTATTTGAATTCTGTTTCCTTAGGAGCTGCCTCGTTTCAAGGAGCTAATCTTTGAGGACTTCTCGCGTTTTCTGTTGATAGAAAATATGTTTGAGGAAGTGGTGCTGCAGTCTGTCTCCAAAGACATAATGATGGGTAAGGGCCAGGATCAAGATTTAGAAACAGTTTTCATGATGATGGCATCAATGGATAGCTGCAGTAATAACATGCCTTACCTTTTCCCCCCCCGTGTCCAGCTGTAAAGGAGGCAGCTGTGCAGAGGAGGCATAACCTCTACAGGGACAGCATCATTCTGACCAACAGCGACCCCAACCTGCACCTGCTTGGGGAAAACCCCCAGGTGGACTGGGCCACCAAATTTGGCGGTGATGAGCCGGAGGGCTCTGTCAGCAGTGCAGATGAAGGAAGGGGTTTTGGGAGAAGACGCAAGCAGGTGGTGTCAATGATACAGCTGGACGGGGTGCCTCTGCCCTATGAGTCCTGCTTGGAGGTCCCAGGGGTGGAGCTGATCCCTGAGGAGGATGCTGAGAGCAAAGAGGAGGAGAATGAGGAGGACCAGTTGGGAAAAGCAGAGGACCTCAGCCCCAAGTCTCCTGATAGCGTGAATGAAATCAGGGACTTGATTAATCCGGTGGTTGAGGTGGCGGTGCCAGTGTCCAAGGAGCAGAGTGAAGTCACCAACAAAACAGAGGCGACCACTGGCAGCATCAGCGTGGAGGATGGGGTCAAGGAGGACGTGACTCACGTCACCACTGTGGTGGAGACTGTTCCAAAGGGGTCTCTGGGAGAAAAGACGTCCCCACAAGCAATCCTCCAGCAGCTGGTAGCGAGCAAGAAGCAGGAAGTTGATAAGGAGGAAGCAGCCATCCAGAACGCCATCGAGGAGCTAGAGATAGCAGTGCAGGAAGATGATGAAAGTGAACAGATTACAGAGATCTCTGCAGCCGAATCAGATAATGAGTCCTCCCCACCACTGGTTACAGACTCCAGCTCACGTGAGGACAGCGGCTTCCAGTCACCCACCCGCGAGGGACCAGTTGACAGCGAGCCTCAGCCAATCACAAATGGTCTGAATGGAGAGGAAAAGATAGTCGACCCTGTAGAAGTGGAGGTTGTTTTATCATAAGAAGACATTCCACGAATAAACTGGAGAAACCTGCAGAGACGAATGGCAGCATGCATAAATATTGAGAAGCTGAATGAATATGGATTGTATTTAAGGGGTTAAAAATGCCTTTTCTTTGTTGCTGTTGATATTGCACACTCCAGAACCCAGTCCTCCAGTTTTTTGACACATATATTTGGTGATTGGTGAGTGTAGACTTTCTTCATATTCCGCATGTGTCAGTAAAGTCATATCCAATCAAAGTTTTGTTTTTTGTAATAGCAGGAAATAATTTGAATATCTGTAACATTAAATGCTCTTGTAATTACAACTTACACTTTACTACAGGTAATCGGAGCCTTGCCTAATGTTCTTAGCCTCTATCTGGTCAGCAGGGGGTGCTACAGCAATACTTTCTTCTTCATCCTGATCTGTATTTATCTAGTTTTTTTGTAAAATGTTACTTTACAAGCATGCAATTTGTTTACTTTATGGCCTTTATGTTTCAATGCATTTCAGTACAAACAGGCAGGGAATGTTAAATACATCTACAGTAACTTTAAAACAAAGGATTTGTTTTTATTTTTAAACATTTAAAAAATAAAGCTTCTTGAAGAACCATCAACAGCTCTGGAGGAAGCCCGCTTGATTATTAGAAGGAAAACGTGGCTTCTAGTGATTCTAGATTATATCACTTGCATCAAATATTACATCTTTTATTTAAAATCATCCATCTAACATCATACACACTGCTGTAGTGATCTCAAGCTGTAAATTTAGCTTGTGTTTTATGTGACAACAGATAATAGGTTTTAATTCCAGTCTGTTTGGCAACCCTACAGATAACCGTTTATTTTAGGGGGGTATAATTTGTTTATAGTTTCTATGAGTGGTTTTATGAAAATAACTTGTTAATTTGGTACTAAAGGGGGGAAATTGAAGCTCTGTATGTGCACAACAGTATGAATGTTGTTGCCTGATTCTGCCCTGATCAGACCTGCTATGTACTAACTGAAAGACTCAAGGTTAGACCTGCGTGCGATTTACATTTTAACACCCAATAACATTTTTTTTTTTAATTCATAAGAGCAACAGAACTTACACATTGTCAATCATTACTTTTCGAAAAAACAACACCTTCTGTCTTTAGACCATCGATTCCCTTTGAAAAAAAAAAGGGAAAACAGGGTAGAAGGAGGCAAAAGCAATTAGAAAAATGGGTTTTTAACTATGGTAAGAAATGATTAGACATTGGGTTGATAGTCCATGTATTACAGAGTGTCCACATTTAGCCGTTTTCTGTGTGTGAGACACTGACCAAGTCGTATTTTTCCATTAAATCCTGAGCAGTTAATTTAATATTAGTGTAACCATTTTATCTAGTCAGGACCCAGATTCATTATTTCCAATGGAGGGCTACCTTGTTTTTATTTATTATAAAACCTGTGTGGATTATAACATTCAGGTGTAAACAGTTTTTTTCCTGTTTGTTGTACTTACGTTTACTTAAAATATGTATCGAAATGGATGAATAAAAAACAAACAAAGCACAACACACTTTATTGGCTTCCTTCTTTTTCCTCTTTATTCTTTTTTTCAAAGACAAAAAAAAAAGAAGCCATCACCAGAAAAAAAATCTTATTGATATGCAACAGTAAATAAAGCAGTTGAACAAATCTGTATAAGCCTTTAGTGTCAGTGATTTTTTAATCAGTTAAAAGAAAATATTACCAAAGATAGGAACTTCTGAAACGTCTCAACTGTCAGCTTCAAGGCACTTTGCTTTTCTGATTGTGGTTAAACAATTGCTACAGAACCACATGACCATGAATAATAACAAACCAAGATGACCTTTCACAAGGTTTTACAAGCGAGAATCACATGTATCAGTTCCTCATACGGACTCCAGCGCAATGCAATTGTGTCTCATGACCCGTGACTGTAAATGTCTGACTTAGCTGCAAGTCAGCTTTAAGCTTTTAGTCCAAAACACTTGACAATCAAATATCAAGTTCCATCTTGAATCATTTGGCAGCAAATGAAAGAAAAAAAAAAAAAATGAAAAAGGTGCAGTATGAATAAAAGCCTGTCCAAAAGGGAAAAAAAACAAAAACCAACCTTAAACAACACAACAACAACAACAACAACATAGCTTCCTAACACACCACAATCTGTGCAGACTTCCCATCTCTGGGTTTTGTGTTATCATGCTGTTGGTGATTCCAGTGCATTTCTTCTTTCTAAATCAATTGTTTAGATTTTTAAGATAATTTAAAAAAAAAAAAATAATTAAAAAAGCAGAATTGAACAACACTCCTACTTTTCCTGGAGATTAAAAGAAAGAAAAAAAATCATTTTTCCACAGGTATTACTCACACAGTCTGCTGACTTAAAGGTGAAGCAGAACTAATACTAGGACTGAAAAACTGAGTGTTTTCTTAACATTATGTACCTTTAACAGAAATGAGTTATTTGTTAATTAGGGACAAATGTTAAAATGTAGCATTTTCTGTTTTCTGGAAGCTTAAAATCATTTTCAGTTTCTATATCCAGATGAGGTTTAGGCAAAGTTTAGTGTCACGTGGCTCATTCTCCACCAATTTTTCCATCCTTCGAGATCCTCGGATAGTAAAAAGTAAACTTTTCTTTATTTCACTATTAAATGTCTGTGCCATCACATCCGACCTAAGAGAGGAAATGAGATAAAATAACCGAGGACCGACCCCGTGATGACCCCGAGGAATATCCAGGTGTTATAGGACATGACGCACAGCATCAGCATGTAGGCCAGAGACACCTGCAGCATGTGGAGGACCGTCTGTATGATGTGCAACAACCAGCTGATGAAAAGAAGAGGGAGAGGGTTATTTACAAATAAACTAATAAGTCAAATACATCGTTCAGGTCTCGACATTCAGTCTGCCAATATGCGATGGTCTCAGTTTGCCACACACTTTTGCTTAACACCGCCCAAAAGATAATAATAGTTGCAATCTAGGATACACCAACAAAAAAGGGTGTCACCATGCTATGGAGGTTACCACCATGCCACAACCATACAGTTCAAATAGATGCATTTCTGTATTTTATTCAGTGATTTGCATTTCACAGTACAATCCATGATAAAAAAAAAAGTTACTAGAAATGACTTGCTTACCTGTTCCTGGTACTTTGAGGTGTAACGACTGATGCTATAGGGGTCAGTGAGGATTCAGAGGGGCTGCTGTCCAGGACAGAGATGCTGTCGCAGTGGGAAGATGGGGCGTCGTATGGAGACTGAGGCTGGGTCAGCTTGGAGGGATTCCCCAGCCACAATCTCCACACTTTAAGCACCTCGTAAAAGACAGTCAGAAGCAAGACCACCAGCACTGACACCACCATCCCTGTAGGTACAAAAATACAAAATGTTAACTCACAAAAAGTCACTATTAAAAAGTACGTTTATGCAATATGATGATGATATAGTGAAATTTATTTCAGTCAACAACACAGATTATCATTTTACATAAAAGTACTCAATCCTACAGTAACCGACAATGGAATAGGCTGAAGGCTTGTGGCTTATAATTATCCTGTCCTTTACCCCATAGGAATAATCAAATCCTTAACCAAGAAAATAAATAGCATTGATAAATAAGTTATAGAACAGTTCGAAAAGAAATCAATGATAAATCAAGAAATTAAATCAACACAAAGTTATTCATCAAACCAAATTTCCGTAACCTTGAATGATGCAAATTTTTAAATTCTTCCTGAAAAAGGACAAAAAAAAAAACACATCTTCAGTTCATCATTAAGTCCATTCCATAATTTCACTGCCAAAACTGACACACATCTATACTTAACATTGAAATACCTAAAGTGAGAACCAAACTTATAAGACCCCCTCAAATCATATTTTCCATCTCTTAGTTGAAACATACTTAAAACACAAATTGGAACATTTTTCATCACTCGATATATCATTTCTAAAGTTTTAGAATGAATTTTAACATAGATGATCCTACAAAACACTGGTTGGTGGACTCCCTATATCCAACTTTATTATTCTAATAGCTTTTTTTTGCAATTTAAAAATTGAATCCAAATATGTTTTGTATGTGTTCCCTCAAATTTCTGCACAATAGGTCATATAAGGCAAACAAAGGGAAGTATACAATAAATAAAGGCAGTTCTTATTCAAAAAATCTCTTGTTTTATAAAGAATAGAAACAGACTTGGATAATTTCCATTTCACATGTTCTATGTGGGGCTTCCAACAAAGTTTATCATCAATAATTACTCCTAAAAATTGTCTCATATACTCTTTCAATTTCAACATTATTTAAAGTCAGTTTTACTTTAATATTACTTTTACTACCTCCAAATAACATTAATCTTGTTTTACTTTCATTCAATGATAGTTTATTAAATACAAACCATCTATTTAACTTCATGAGTTCTGTTTCCACTGTTTTCAGTAATTTCTTTATGTCCTTTCCAGAGCAAAATAAGTTTGTATCAACAGCAAAAGCCACATATGTTAAAGTATCACTGCCTGTACAAATATCATTTATATCAAGTAAAAATAACTTAGGTCCCAAAACAGATCTTTGCGGAACTCCACAAGTTACTTTTCTAAGTTTAGATTTCATGTTATTAATACTCACATATTGGAACCTAATATTCAATAGGTTCCTTTGAATAATACATCATTATTTTTGCTACTTTCAGATTTAGACTAGATTGACACCAACATCTGTTCACTTAATGCGAAGCTCCAGCCAAAAGCAGGTTCATGAAAAATACAGAGGACTGGAAGCATTGAGAAAACAATACATTTTCTCTACATATAGCTTGAGAACATTTTCCCTGCTTCCCCTGGGATACATGAGGGGTATCCGTTCTGGCAACTCCTCTACAACCGTAATATTTTAGTATTAAAAATTTATTTTCCACTTTAACAACTAATTATAACCCCTTAAACATCTCCTTAATGTAATTAAATCTAATCCAGATCCACTTCAAGGCTGGCATATTTGGACAAATGTAGAAAAGGGGTTGGTGCACAGTCTTTCAAAGCTGTTTAAAAACTAACTTCAATTAATACATTTTTGGTTCCTGCTACAAGTTTAAAAAAGAAAAAAAAAAGAAACACTTGACAAAAAAAAAAAAAAAGAAATCTGAAGCAAATTTTATCAACCTGTTAAAAACAAGTTTGAACAGGTTTATTCAAGCTTCAGTTCATGAACATGGTAGATCAAGTTTGTATAGTAATGTCAGCAATATTACAGAAACACTCCACCGTCATCAGAAATAAGTATTTGAATTGCACCACACAATTTTTAAATCCAGATGAACTGGTTCTAAGGCTTTTTCGCAAGACTTTAATACTCTGCAGCTTACCTGCAGGGCTGTGCACATCCCAGAAGTCAAACAGCAGCGTCACACTGCTCGAAACCCCAAAAGTCATCTAAAGAAAAATGAGAAGGGTATTAGGTGTTGTTCACTGGTAAGGTGGAGTTTAGGGCCAACATTTATACTGAATGCAGTGTTGTCCAATGTTCCAAGAACAGTCCGTACAATAGTACTCAAAATATTTCTGATTACAGAGTGAAAAACAAAGAATTTAATTTATACTACTTTGCACAAATATGCTGTATATACACACACATGATTTTGTCCCACAATTAGAGGACATACTGCCCCACAAAGGCACACTTTGTTCAGCCTTGCTGCTGTGGATATGGGCTGACAGAGGAATGCACGGTCTGTGGCTCTTGCTTGCTCAGCAGCACAGCTCTATCCCTGATAATTCACCACCTGTCTTGGCATGACTGCCTCTCACCAGCTGCAAACTAGCAGATCTCAGTTAGGCATCAGCCTAGCTGAGATCTGCTAGTTATAAAGTCTGGAAATGATAAAGTTCCAAATTTAACAGAGCTACACTGGCTTCCAGTGTCATATACACTGACCTAAAAATTCTCGCCTTAGATGGTCTTGGATCATTGTCTACCACTTTATCTCAGGGCACTCTGAAATCCTCCAATGACAAACTGTTAAGACATACGATATTTCTCTCAAAAAAAAATAAAATAAAATAAAAAAAAAATAATCTGGGAGCAGCTTCAGCCCCTCATGCCCCCAAACCACCGTTTGGCTTCTTTCTCCGTGACTCCATATCTCTCTCTTTCTGCCTCTCTCCCTCTTATTGTTTCATCTTCCTCATAAATGTTTTTATGAATTTAGATTATCAAGCAAAGCACTGAATGGAGTACCTCACTCAACTTTAGGAAAGCCTTCAACTATTGAGGGGAAGACCACGAAAGCCTTTCTAAATATGGTCACACTGAAGTGCACAGCATAGCTGTACATTAGTTGCATGTAGAATTACACAAAGCTTTGTAGTTCGTCATCTACATATTGTAGTTGTGTGTCACTGATCGTTTAAAGCATTTTTAAAAGAAAAAAAGTCTACTGCAGTTATTATTTGTGCCTTCTTTCTTTGTGAACAGTCTCCCTTTTCTGCCTAAGCTAACCAATGAACAATCAACCCACATACAGCTTTTTGGAGGACTGCACACAAGTACATTTTCATATCCTCTGCATATTCGAAGACCTACACAAACAGATACCAATGTGGGACCATAAACACTTCACAATGTCATTACGAAAGCGGCACCATTGTCAATGGGAAACTACCTGAAAGGTTCACTAAAAGGTGGAAAGCAAGAACCGATCTGAGCCATCCACTGGAGCCAGTTTTCCCAGTTTTAGACTTTGCTGGTGATCTTGCGTAAAGTATAACCAACTGTAATAGAAAACTGATGCCCAACAGAAAACCGCGCATTTAAGCCTAAAGCCATGTGTGATGATGCAATTTCTGATATGTAAAGTAAATGGGGACAGTTAACTATGCAGATGAGTCTGGTCATCTTGGAACTCGTCCCAGCAAAGACAATGCAGTACAAAAGACTGTCGGAGCAAAGGATTATCTGCTTTATCCGGAGGCCAAATCAATAAGCTTAAGAACAAAGGTCCATCTGTCCAACAGTTGTTTTGTTTGGTATTGTGGCCACTGGCTGTGACGTAAAAACAATTGATGCCTTAATCCTCCTTATTTCCTGGACTTCTAAAATTTCAACTATACAGTCAGGCCAGATGACCAAGTTCAGAAGTGCAGTGCTGATAATCAAACATCCTCAAAGTTCTTCCCGAAACAACTTGGTGGACGAATGTAATGACCCCTTGTTAGAATATGGACCTAACAAGGGAGAAAGCACAATATGAAGCACAAGACAAAGCATAGAGGGAAGGATTTTATTTTCTACTTTTTCCTCTTCTCTTTCCTGGTGGCAATAATGGTTTCCCCTCCTTGAGCCTTGTTCTGCTGATGGTCCCTTCTTGTTACAAAGGAGGCTTGTCCTCCCCACCATCCCCAAGCGCTTGCTCATCAGGGTTCCAGCTCACAAAAATTGTCGTTAAAATAAAAGCTCTTTGAGATGACCCTTGTTGTGAAGTGGCAATGTATAACTAAGACTGACTAGATGATGAAACCCAATTAATTCCATCATGTACATTCCTGTCTAGTTGTGACATTTGCAAAAAAAAAAGAAAAAGAAAAAAAAAAGACAAAGCACGGCAGGCATCCTGGAGGTCAGATATTTGGGCAATCACATCATGTAATGGGGCCATTATGCTTACTGTTCCATTCGACAAAAGTCATGTCATATCCTCTGGTGCCGGTCGTTCACCTCTCGATTAAGTGACTAATGTGACAGGTACAATGGAGGCCTAAGAAAAGAACCAAGTTGACTCTTCTTACAACTACTGTGCTATAGAAAACCCAGTAAAGCAGTCAAAGGATAATCCTATATTGGCTCTTAATCTACAAAACATTTTACTCAACATGGTAGTGGTCTATCACAACAACTAGAACCAGCAGAGTTCCACCCATCCATCACTGACACCCTAGTCAGGCTGTCAAATACCCTACTGAACTGAAGTAACCTCACTCCACACCGAAAGGTCTCAAACACCCACAAGGTTCAAGCTAACCCAAGCACCACTTAACTTCCTATCCAAGTTTTCCTTCCTTTATGTTTTATCAAATTAAGGATTTTTGGAGGTAAAACGCAGTTCCACAGAGAAACAGTGTATAATCAGAGCCAAAACTGAACTATGAAGCCATCTGTACATGAATAATAACTCAAAATTATTTAGTTTGGGTTTTAACTTCAGAATTCACCTTCATTCTGAAGCCCTAACCACACGTGGTTTGTTTAAAACTGGTCTGATCAGCTACCCGACTGCTCCCCTTGTCATCTTTTTAGTGAGCTCACCTTAAGCTCAAATCTTAGTAATTATGGTACTGAGTGAACTGTACTCCGTTTAAATAATGAACTATCCTACAAAAGCAGCATCCAATTTGTGATAAATGTAGTTATTATTTTAAAGGCAAAAAAAGAAGAGCTAGAAAGAGCTGGCTTTGCTGCACGGTGAGAAACATTAAATTTATGTCTTTATAACTTCTTTTAATGTGAAACGGATACATGGTGGCCAAAGTTTCCATTTAAAATGGCACAGGACAGCAGAGGTGATAAAAAAGTCGAAGTATTTGACACAATGAAAGAACGAGGGGGAAAAATCAAATACAGACAGCTTGAGTCAACAATCCAACTGGGGGCTAGACTCAGAAAGCACTGTGAGCTTATCTTTCAAATACACTTTGGAAAAACCAGGTGTTTGTTTTCAAGGTGACAGTTGGGACTGAAAATGGTGTAATTAGTGCTGCTACTACAAGCACTCAAAATGACTGTATTCTGCACTTTTACACAAATACAGAACAATTTCCGAGTCTCAAAATGTGCTTTCACTATTTAGGTTTAACCGATAACTTTCATTTAAAGGTTATTTAGGGTAAAAATATCACAACTGCAATAATACTACTCGTTTTAGTGGACCTATAGTTAACAAAAGTCACTCGGGTTTTATTGGCATAAATGCACTAAAGACCCTAAAGCAATGATTGAGCTTATTTTAAATCCCAAGTGCATAAAGCAGCAGCACCTACATATGAATTCACATCTGCAACTTGCATACCTAAACTGATCTGGCCCGAATTTATTTATTCTCAGAAATTGACACTTTAAAAAGAAAACAGCACAGGTGACATAATGTCCAGCTTTGGATGACACTGACAGCAAGGTATAAAGTTAATCATATGGTTACATAACACTGACGCTGTTGTTTTAGTGTTTTTGTAGTAGACTTTTAAAAAAGGGGTCTCAGTAAGCGTCCCTTCTCATTAGCTTAACTATAAACATGATTCAAAGTAAAGTTAACTCATCTTAGTTTTTAAAAGATGAGTTATCTCCCAGACTTACGCCAGGTCAGACGGTAGTAGTTTGTAGTAGTAGTTTCACAGCAGATTATTTCATATTTTTTTTAATGGCTTTATTAGATGCAGTGTGTCAGAAACCAGTAAGTACTGCTTACACCGACTCCCTGGGTTCCCCGAAGTGTGCATGCCGTGTTTTCCTCACACTAAGTGAGTCAGTGCCACACATTAACCAGCAAAGAAACGTCTCAAATGCAAAACAGCTTATTAAAGTAGCACATATGGCGTATGCTAGACCGCTGAGTGACAAAACAAACACACACAAAGAGAACTCACGCGCATCCTGACGAGCTTGCTGCGCTAACGTTGACACCACACTTTCAGCGGTTATTGAGCGCAGCTTCCATCACAGATGAGTCTCGGTCCGGACATTCAAGCACGAGCCATTTCCACACAATCGGCGTGCATTTCTCAAATATGCCTCAACAGAAACAGCCAGTGTCCCACCTACTCAGCCCAAAGACGCTATGTATGTAGCCTGTGGTACCACGTGACTTCGCCTAACAAACCACGGTTGACGGTTAATGTAGTTTTTCAACATGTAGGACGAAGGCAAACATCCCGAGTGCGACTGCGCAGCCGAAATAGAGAGTCCCGGATAAACAACCGTTACCCTTCAGATTAAAGAGGGCGGCTACAACCCCCAAATATTTGAGTTTAAAAACGAGTGAAATAAGACCGCTAAGTGAGCAGAAATCGATGCTTTTAAAGCGTTTAATGAATATGTATTATGCAGAACCAATGACTGTAGAACGCTGTGGTCATGTGACAGACGGAAGCCGCTCACACAATTCTTGGAGTTGTATCAAGGTCACATCTAAAACCTGCAGAACATCGGCACTCGAGGCCTGTAGTTGCCCACCCCTGCTCTAGACCATCACTCTCATACACTTCTCTACCATTCCTGACTTCCTCATGCAGTCCCACACTTCCTCTCTTGGCACCCGTCATAGCCTTCCTCTAGAATCCACCGAGAGAGAGTGCATCACATCTGCAGTTCTCTTCCTCAGCATGACCCCGTACTGTTGATGTATACATGTTTGTCTGGAACAGTTCTCTCTTGCAGGGACCACCTGTGGTGGACGTTTCTGTCATTTCAATGTTTATCTATTATTTATTTACTTTAGTATGGATGGCAGTAGGGGAGGTCTTTATTAGTAGCCAAAGCTGTTAAATCATGTGAAAACACTATTAAAATGGAGATATTTATGCCCTTGTTCACATTTTTCAAAATTATTCAGTTGACCAGATTGCAGTCTTTGCCGGCCGTTTCTGGCCCCACACCTTATGTTTTGAAAACCCTTCCATAACATTAAGTCTGGCAAAATGCTCAGGTGTAATAGTAAACAGTCTATTTTTTATACATTTTTTTATACAGCAGAAAACTTTGTTTTTTCACAGAAATGTGGGTGGGTGTAGTGCCTTGCTTCCCCTTACTCCCTTACTTTATTGTCGTTCTATGCAGTACAGCTTTGATTCTGCACTGTAAGCTGAAACTGTACATGTAATGGTTGAGGTGCAACTATATCCACACTGCACCTGTAAACAGCTCATATAGTAGAAAAATACAAAACTGGACACCACTCATCAATATATGAGGGAAGGGGGGTGGGATGAAAAGATAACATAACGAGGGGTTTCATAAAGCTATAGTACCTTTTGGTGAAGAGGATTTGAACAGAATGAAGGCTGGTAAAGGCAGCATGAAATGGCTTCAGAAAACGAATTGCACACGTTTTTTTCTCCTAAAACAAAGAGTTTAAAACAAAGTTCAGCAGGTCTACAAAGTCCAGTGTCTTACTGTTTTTGAAAGCTACATCTGTGTACATCAAGTGCACTTTGCACAGTCCCGCCAGACACAAAGCAGGAGGAGCATGTCCTGATGTCCTCATAGAGAAGAAGAAGGTAGTCCACCGCAGGCTCATGTAAATGTTGAAGGGTATCCAGATTGTTTAAGGCATGCTTTTACAATAATGCAGAGCCACAAGATTTCTGTTATCAGAAACTCATGCTGTGATTTGAAGCGGAGTGTCAAGATAAGACGAAAACACACAAAGAGTCACACAAACATTCAGTGCAGATGTTGTGCTTCAGATTTTCAGGGACATTAGGCATTACTATGCCTGGAGGATGTGGATTAAATTTTTTGTCATCAATATATGACAAAACATGACAAATGTATGCAACTACGTGGAACTGTAGCACTGAAGTCTATTTTGCTGTTATGAATAAAATGAGAAAAGAGTTTTTATACGTGCAAAACAAAAGGTTTGGTGAACAAATATCTATACATACAACAGAAAATAGCAGACATTTGTGCAATGCTAAGATCATATTATGGTACAACAACATAAAATCAATACAAAATACAATAGTTAAAAGTTAAACCCCACTGCTGACCACAAGCAGAAATGGACAAAAAAGGAAAATATCTCCACTTTTACAGATGTTTGATCAGAAATTGGCTTGAACTCAAGTTTGATTGAAGTTAAACTGCATTTTACTTTCTCTCTTTCTCTCTCTCACTCACTCACACACTCACACACACACACACACTCACACACACACAGTAAATGAAGTGCTGAGATGTCCAGATGTGTTAACATCTTAACATCTGCACTGACTGACACACTCAAATCACCAGAAGAAATTTAAGGCAACAAAGGGGAAAAATAACATAAATCATCCTGATGCAAACCACATGCATCTTCAACCTCCGTTTATAAGTTCTGCTCAACAGAAAGGAAAGAAATACATTTCTAGAGCGGACTTCAGCTGGTGAATCACAGAAACAAGGACTAAGTTAGGTGGGTCAGTTAACATGGCTGGTCGTTTTAGTCTCCAGTTTTAAGAGCAGGCTCAAAAGAGATAAACGCCTGTACCGGTATCACCCACAAGGGGGCAGAGTACGGCTTTCGGTACTGCAGACCTCATAACCAGCTACAGGGAAAATGAGGCTCACGAGACAAACTTCCTCTGAATACAAAAGTGGTACGGCAAGAAAAATATCTTAAGGAGCCAATGAAAGGGAGACATAATGAAATAAAAAATATAATAAATAATAACAAAGTTTGACTGCATTGCTTTGTGGAAGCGTTTTTGATTAAAAGGCCTTTTCCTCTTAAAATCTAATTTGTATTTAATTTTCCTCTGGTCTGTAGTGCTGTTTATCCATCACTATTGATTTGGTGTGAGATTCCCAGTTTCCGACATATCAGCTCTGCAGCCATCTGCTTACTCTTGGATTTAATGGAACTGAATGGCACGACACCTTTGGAGCTAAAAGACACACACACAAAAAGAAGAAGAAAAAAAAAAACATGAAAGAAGGAAAATATCCATCCATCCATTTTCTGCCGCTTATCTGGGTTCAGGTTACAGAGGCAGAGGTCTACCCAGAGGCACCCAGCCTCTCATTGGGTTCTTCATTGCATTCCCAACCAGCGGAGCAATGTAATCTCCCCAGCGTGTTCAGGTTCAGCATGGGGGCCTCTTCCCAGTAGGACATTGTGTAAAAAAAAAAAAAAAAAATTCCAGAACTACCTCGACTGGCTCTTTGTGATGTGAGCTCCACATCCTACTTCTATGGGAGAGCCCAGACACCTTTCAAATATCTGTTATCTCATTCTTTGGCTTACTACCCACAGCTCATGACCACAGGCAAGGGTGAGAATGTAGATTAACTGGTAAATCGACAGCTTAACTTTTATGCTCAGATCTCTCTTCTTCAAAGCACACTGGTATGGCCCGTACCACACACATCCCTCTGTCAATCCCCCGCTCCTCTATTCCCTCACTTGTCGGTTCAAGACCCGGGACACTTACACCTGTCCCTGACCCAGAGTGCACACTCCACCCTTTTCCAGCTGAGAACCATGCCCTCAGTCCTGCAAAGTGCCTCACTGCCTCAAGACACATCATCTACCAACAGCAGAGAGGTGATCCTGAGGTCACCAAACAAGAAACCCTCCACCACTTGGATGGATTTATAAATTAATAAAAGTTATGAACAGAATCTGTGAAGAAGGGCAGCCAAAACCCATCGAGAACGCATTGGAATTACTGCCAACAGTGCAAACCACAGCCCATAACAGCCTGAAAGATAAGGAAGAGCCACATCATGACCTGGTGACACAAAACAAATACCCCGATTTTGTCATGAGCAGTTTCGTTTAGGAACAATTTTATGTTCTATTATCTACATCTGCAAAAGAAAAGAAGCAGCTTAGCTGTTGTGGAGGCTTTTAATGATTACATTGTGAGCCTCTCGTCATTTGTCGTTGGATGCTTACTTCTGCAGAGGGATATGGTTGGCAAACGTTGACAGAAGAATGATGGCAATAGACAGTAGAATAAAAGGTTTAGGACTTTGTTTGAGAAACTTCTCATGATTGCTGATGACCTTTTGAAACGTATTATTTTAAATATTCCATGTAGCTCCATAATAAGGATATTTGAAATCGGGCAACTCACATCAAGATGATTTAGATAAAAAACAAACAAACAGCACAACAGACCAGAGGAAAACTACTGAATGAACTGAATTTGAATTTGCTCCTTGAATTGTTTTAATCAGTTACTCAGCCGAGTGGTTTCCCTAAGGACCTACTTATCTTTATAACCATTCTGTGCATTTAAAAACAGATTTTGATGTGAAAAGAAGCTGTTATCACAGGCATCACCTGTGACTGTGTATTCCTCTTTTTATATCCATGATGGAGGCAGCTCTGCCTGCACGACGACGTAGACAGCAGAGACATGTACAAAGAGCAGCGGACCACACTAACAACCGCATGTTTGGACCCCCGGACCCCCCCGCCCCACCACAAAAAGGCCAGACTGAAAGCTTTTAGTTTCAAGGCATCACAGATGCAACAACATGTTGGAAATAAAAACACAACAGACGTGTCCAACGACTGATTATTCTAAATGCTGTATAACAATGTGAAATACTTTTTTCTTTTTTTTCTTTAGGCACAGTGATGTTCACCTGACATTATCTGCTGGGACATGAGGAAAAATTTAAATTCTTATATTCATTATAAGAAATTATCCCCTTTTTAAAAAAACAAAACAAAACAAAACTCAATGCAGGACAAAGAATCAATCCTTGGGGAGTTTGAAGCATCCATCCTCTTTTCATCCACCTTGTCTCTGGATTCGTTTCGAGGCGAGTGCAAACAGGTGTAGGTGGGAGTGGTCACAATTCTTCATCCACCTGTTTCTTCTCTACTGTCTACTGTTGAAACTGGAGTTGGCACTACTGCAGCTTTCCTCATAACTAGGTGGGGGCTCTGGAACACACAGAGGCAAAGAAAAGTAAACGGGACTAGATAAGAGTTTAAGGTTATCTTGGAATTTAACTGTGATTTAATCTACTAGAGATTATAGGCCAGAAAATGCAAAACACATTGCTTAGTCATTTTGGGGAGTGGGGGGGCGCTATCATGGCTTTCCATGAGTAGTAGTGAAGTCGAACTCTGGAGCTGAAAATGTGGAAGTGCAAGAAACTGCAGGCCCTTTAATGTCCACATTAAGGCTGGCTGCACATTTTAAATACCCAACTATACAGCATTACAACAGTTTCTTCCTAATCTGGAGCATTTTTATTGTTATTATCTGACAAATTATGTGGACTGCTGTGAATGGAGCCTGGCCGATACAGGACTTTATAAGACTGATATGTACAGATATTTGGTGATTTAAAAAACAACAACCCAATATCGGCCAATATTTTTAAAACTTGAAGCATGATGATGATGATGCAACTCATAAATGCCTAATTAGCCATTACACCTTGCAGGTGATTGTCTGGGTGTGGTAGGTTTATTAAGTACTAACCATGAGGGTAGTCAGTAGTGCTGTACTCTGGAGGGAGAATGAGTGAACAGGAAGTGGGGGTTGGAGCAACATTTCCCTCAGTGAAGAAAGGTATGGTGGCTCCTGTGGACAAACAGAAGAGCGGAGCAGATGCATCGGGGGGATTGTGGCTAGGCGGCGCTGCCGCACCTGGCGAATAGCTGAAGGCGCTGGGAGACATTGTGACTGCCTGGCCTGAGGGATCCTGCTGTGAGTGACTCTTTGTGGGAAGTTCCTCACTGGTAAAGCCTCCTGCACATATATCATCGCCTCGATCCTCCTCCACTGGCGGAGCGCTGGGCATCACCCCTGCTGCACCCGCTGGACTGGTGGGTGTAGACCTCGTCGGAGACTGGTTTAAAGCAATGTTTCCGATATAGATAGGCAGAGTGACAGCTGCTTCAGGATATCTTAGTGACACCTGTAACACAAACAGAGATCCGTGAAGGGAGCAGCGGGATCAGTCCCTGTTAACTGTGCATTACTCACAGCTAATTTATTTTTTATATTCCCCCACCCAAGTTGATCCTGTGTCTGTAGAATCTATTCTTTAAAAGTTACCACCCCTTTTGGGTACCCTTAGCAAAGACCCTTTGTTTGTGTAGAAAAGTGTCTGACACCAAGAATTAAAAGCACGTTTAATATGTGCAGCCACCATTTTAACAGCTTAGAAATGACACGAGCAGATTACTTTAATAAGTTCCTCTTAAAGCAGCAGCACTCAAGAACACCAAGAAACTGCAACCTGGAAAGTTTTGCAAATTGCTTCCCCTGGCAAATCGAACCGTTTTGCCAAACTTCCAATCATACTTCAATGTAGCACTGAAAATGGTAAAAAAAAATATCTTAAATGATGAGTGGGGAAGAAAAAAAAAAATCAGATGATCTGCTATTAGCTGCAATGGTCATTTGCAAAATATCACAATATCATCATAGAGGAATTTCTGAACTTCTTCCCACTTCAAAAATCTATTGTGACCTACTCATACTTTCACCTTGGACAGTCACATGAATTTTTTTGATTCATTTGGATCCTACGATAATTTACTTCTTAAGGTCAACTGTCCATTAAAAGCTTCACTGCTCTATAAGACCTGCAGCTCCACTTTAGTTATTTCCTACTACTTAGATCCACAAATAGCTCAGAAAATGAAAAGTTAGAATCTTTATTTGATATTTAAATATTTAGGGTCAAATTTATTTATTATTATTTATTTTAAATGACTTTTTACAGTTAACTTGTAGTACCTTCACAGCCCACCAGAGGGCTGCCACCAACACTCTGTGGTCTGATTCAGAAACAATTAGGACGGCATAAAGGAAGTAGAAAAATGAAAAGCTGGAGCTGAAAAGCTTCAACTAACATATGTTAAACCTGCAAAACTGCTATCAACCTGGTATAACACACACACACACATACACACACACCTGAATGAAATAGATGATGTCTATAAGGTTGCAGCCTGTCAGTTGTGACTGAGGGAGTGGAGGAACGATGATCTGTTCCTTCCACTCTGCATGTTTTCCTGCCTTCACTTTCGCTCCCTCCACCTCTGCAATGGTCCGTAGGTCTACCACAGGCTTGTTAGTCTTGTAGGTCACTCTCTGGTGTGACAAAGTCAAACAATTAGAAGCATGAAAAGATGTAATGGCAAATTCAAACCGCTTCACACACCACTAATGTGAAAGCTCGCAGGATAACTTACTGTTCTAGAAATGATCAAGATAACTGTTTTTATCTGAGGCAGAACGAATTTTATGTGTGTCCACATGAAAAGATTTGTTACTTGAGTGGAAATTCTGGTTTATTCTATTATTATAGAAGGTCTAAGAGTTCTCAGTCCTTCTTAAAGATGATTTACACAAACCAAGGATGAGTTAAGAAATACTGATATAACTGTCTACATTTAATAACATACCTGTACGAGACTGGCCAGTACACACCCCGTGTCCTTGCCAGATTTGTTGTGGATCTCGGTGAATAACTTGATGACCTGACCGGGGATGTAACCCTTCATGTCACTGCAAACTTTCAGCATCACAGTCCCCGACTTCACCAGGAGGTAGTTGAACTTCTTGGTGGCCACAGCAGAACTGTGATACTGAAGAGGCAGAGTTGTTGAATAAACGTCTGTCTGTCTGTACGTTGGCAGTAATTAAAAAGTTTGGCTAGCAGAAGCTGTGCAGACTCTTTATTGCAGGATAAACAGGAAACTGACAGTCATCAGGAGAAGAGACTTGATTATGAGTAGGAGGGAGAGAACCCTTTCCTGCTCTGCAACGAAATCAAATAAGCTTCGACAAAGATAAAAGTTTATTAAATAAAGAAATGCATTACAGCATTCTTTTCAATCCAGTCCTAAATGCACTGGGCAAGAATCAAAGAGAATAAAGGTGAGATCATAGTGAAGGAAAACAAATGTGAATCAAGCACTTACAGCAATGTCTGGAACCTCATTGAGGTTAAGCATGTTGAGTAGGTAGAAGGGCTTCTGGATTTTGTAGTCCTTGGAGAAGCGTGGCGTGTCAATAGTCACCTTCACTCGGTAAACTATTTTCCCAAAGGGTCCCTCAAAGGAAGTCGGGACAGCAGCTAAGCAGGAGATTGTGGGGAAAGAAAACACAAACATGAGTGACATTGGGAATTTCAATCCAACCCACATCAATTTCTCAATAAAGCTGTAACTTACATCAAATTCAGAGGGTCATACCTTCACCGTACAAGAAAGCTAACAAGCTCAGTAAGACAGAATTTCCCCCCCAAAAAGCAAAAACTGTCTCCATAGGTGACGACTAAGTGGATCACAGGTAAACTATGTGATTAAAAGTCTAACATTTTCAAGTTCTCACACAACCAATGCGTTGTTATATTGCGGCCTGTAAACTATGGCGGGCAGAAACAGCCAATAAATAACATCACATTAAATGTATGAATTTATTTCTACATCTATTTCTGTATTTTCTACATTTTGCTTTTGCATTTCCACAAACTTGTTTGTTTCTGGTTTACAAAGTGTACTTAAGGAGTCAGCATTTCACCTTTGGGTGACTGACACAAATCAAAGGAAATGGCTGCCTCTGGTTAGGAAAAACAAAGAAGTAAATTAGACTGAAAACAATGCTGTTAGTCAGAACTATTGCAATAAAGCAAAAGTACTAGAACAGGAATAGAAAGTACAAGAAATATTTTTTAAAAAGTCATACAAATGTATATATTTCGATGACTAATTTGTGCGAGGGATTCAACGAACGACTCGATAATTTTTTTCTTTTTAGCATTTGCTATTAAGGATTAGCAAAAACTTTCTTTTAAATTGAAAAAAAGGAAAAAAAGTTTAAGTTCAATACATTTAATTGTAAATTTAAGTTAAAAATTTTTTTTAAAAGAAGGACAAAAAGGAAAATTAAACGTAGAAATTCTAGAAAATGTCGTATTAATGTGGCTACACTCTATTTTTTGTAGATATTTTCCCCTAGGCAGAGACTGAGCTGAAATCTGTATGCATTCCCTTGGAGATGTCATTAAACTAAGCTTTCAGATGGATTCCTGCAGGTGTCCTTAGTGAAAAAAGGACAGGCCATGTGTCTCAGGAAAAGGACAGTGAAGAAGTGGAAACTGTGAGGGTAAACATAGGAGCGTAGGAAATTCAAGAAGAGGAAAAATAACAATTCTGGGGAGACAGCAGTGAGATAGACAGAAGGGGAGAGATGTTCAGATCCAGTGAAGAGGAAAAAACACCCAAACAACAGGTTCAAAACCTGTTCATGGAGTAATCTGTGTATAAATTTCCAAGCAGAACACACAGCAAAAGAGTTTAATGTGGTGTCAAAATAATGGCAGAGCCCCCTGGCGCAGTCTCTGTTCTAATGTGTTCCTTGATCCTCATTCAGATGTTAATGCCAGCTGCTCCAGGGACTATCTGCTGCTGCTGTCAATAAGAATTAAGCAGGAGAGGCAGATTGTTGTTGTTTGGTTGCAGACAACTTGGCAACTAAAATGGAGCCATCACTGGCTGACATCAGGCCGAATTTCCCTGGGGAGTGGGCTGCTCGTGGTTACTGAAAGTGGCTAAGGGTTGTGGAGCCTGTCTTGCTCCTTTGAGTGCAGACAAAATCCATAGACTGGAAACATGAGAGCCTAGAAATAACTTGGCGATGTCAAAGCCCTCCTTATACAACGTCCGTTCATCTTTTGACCTTAAAGTGGACCCATTATAACTCTTTTTTTTTGCTTGGACTCTACTTGAGTAGCTCTGTGTTACTCACAGTTCAAAATAATCCTTATTTATCCTACACTGAGCCTTCGTTCAGCTCCTTAGCTGATTTAACCCTCTCAGGCTCAAATGAAACTTTTTGTTGCTAATGCACAACCAAGTCCTGCAGTGGTACTTCTGAGTAAAAAAAACTCATAAAATATGTATGTTGGGTAATCAGGTTGTTAGTTTTTAACTGTTGCAAATCGGCAACGCCTGCCTTGAGAGGGTTAAACAAGTCATTTGAGCTTTTCTGCCTTTTAAGCCAACTTTCTTCTAATTGGATGTCCCTCTAAAACAGGTTTGAATAGCTTTAAGATCCCATCTCTTTTATGATTTTCAGAGCCAAGAGTAGAAGAAAAACTGTGTGAAACAGAGCATTTTGTATAAGCTGGAGACTCCATTTGCCCTTAAGAGTGTGTAGTGCCAAAAATTTGCAAAAATAAGCCTCCTCACCAACTGTCATATATGTATTTTGATTATTGGTGACACTGTTTTTGCGGAAGATTCATTTTTATTATGATGTCTTTTGTGACTATTAGAGAAACTTTGAAAAGAATAACAAAGAAAACTTGCTAAGATATTATGATAAATGCTCAATTTTTAAACCACATGTTACAATTCAGGTAGACTCTTTTTTACCATAAAAACTCTTAAGGATCACACTGTTCATTTTAGGGTTTGTTAGCCTCTCTGAGTTACCAGCAGGGGGCAGCAGGAGCCTCTTTATCCTTCAGTTAGCCACCTCTCTGCCTGATATTTAACATGCCCTTCACTGATGTTCTCAAGACTGGTGGGCTGAAAGGAGGGGAGGACAAAGCACGGAGGCATGAAGACCAATTAAACAGTGACTGCACAAAAGGAGAGGGAACTAAAAATAACCCCCGGCTACCCCCCTTCGTGTGTCAGCCTGTGCCTCAGAGAGGGTGTAAGATACCAGACAGATTGCACAATGTGTGGCCTTACAGGTGCCAAGAATGTTCAGCTGATCTTTAGGGTTATTTACACACTGCAATTTTGTTATCTATCATGAGCAAAAAAAAAAAAAACTTTTAGTAGCAATAAAAGTATCAGGAAATGGCATACCACTCCTAAATCTTTAAACACTGACTACGTAATGTTTTTCCATTCGCCTACACACAAACTGGACCTTAACTGCTTTGTCGACAGGGGTTATCACACCTGCATCAGCATGCACCCTTCGCTGAACTGACCTAGATGGGTGATAAAACAAATCTAAGAAAACTTGTTATGGGAACTGAGGCGGTGCTGGGCACACAGAAGAATGACGTTTCACTCACCTGGAATAACAAACTGGAACGGGAAACTGTGTTCGCCCACTCCAAGGACACCTGTAAAAAAAGGTTTACATTTATAATGACGCTTTTCTCAAAACACAGATTTTAATAGATCCATTAAGGAGGAGAGAGGCACATACTAATAAATATAAATATGCTAAAATCATTATAGTAAAATTAGTAGACAGAAAAAACTGCAAATTAAAGTGAATGTGCTGTAAAATCTCATAATTTATGTCCATATTCTTTCATTAACTTTTAATTTAAGGACACGGCGTGCCGGCTGGGCTCACCTGCTTTCCCAGCAGGATGAGGTTTCTGAGACAAAACAGGCTTTAGCTGAGACGATTACAATGATCTTTTCTAGTGACTTAGACTATTAAAGGTTAGTAATAAGAAGTGATAAACTGCTGGGTGACACAAGTGGCAAGGTTCGAGGTTCTCTCAGCAATCATTTAAAGGCTTGGCGAGGTGGCAGCAATCAAAGCCAAGCCTTTTTCTTCCATTCCATCCCATCTGCAGGCCAGCATCAGTGTGACAAGTATGACCGTTTGGATTGAAGCTAAGATAAGAATGCTCCGTGTTTTTTTTTTTTTATAGCTAGCAAATTCCTAAAACAAAAGCCACAGCCCTGAGCTATATCCTCACGAACTTTTATCTCTGGTTTAAATAAATACAATAAATAAATGTTATTCAAACCTAGTCCAAGACCATAAACTTTTTTCCCCCTCAGTGAAGTCCAACTCTCACCTGAAACCTGCTGGGAGAGGTACACATTTGGTAAATCTGTGCTTACAGCCAGATGGCGCAAGTGAGAGTGGCTGAAGATGAACTACAGTGCATGTTTACTGTAATGAAGGAAAATGTAATCGACTGTGGAACAGCAGGATTCACTGATGTCTTTTTTTATTTGTTTTTGGACAACAATGGAGCTCCGTGGCGCAAAGGAAATGCAGATAAAAGCTCCTAGCCTGCACAGGAAAGCTCATTAGAATGATTACTTCTTTGTTGATTTTGGCCTTGACATGGGGTTTGTTGACAGTATGGAAAAGAAAGAGAATATCCAGTCTCATCTGTTACTTACTGGTATAATCAGAATCCCACGCAAAGAAAGACTATAAATATTAAAAGGCAGACAATATTAATTATTTTTTCCATCTCTACTTTTCTCACATTTTTCATGTTTAAATAAGCAAATGAGGCATAAGATTTAAATAAATGTGCATGATTTTCTACAGCAGAAATCAGAACGACACATAAATCCACATAAAGTTCAAAATTGTTGCTTCGCTCTGTCTAGTTGTCTAGGCAACGCTCCAATGTATTTACCACCAGGCACTGTGTCAATCAGCAGTATCTTGTGGTCTCACTGGTAGCTGTTCAAACAGTTGCCTGAAAGTTGAGGGAAAGTTGATCTCAGGTCTCAGAAAGCTGTTCATCCAAGTCATCTTCAGTCGCCAGTTCAGGCCTGTATGCACTGTGTATTCTGACACCTGTCATCAGAGCCAAATTTGAGCTACAATAGCTCGTCTGTGCATCACTGAGCTCATCAGCCTGTTGCTGGTTCACCACTGCTGCTTCCTTGAACCAGTTTTGATAGATACTGACCAGTGCACCGCAGGAACACCCCACAAAAGCTGCAGTTCAGGGGATGCTCTGACCCAGTCGTCTCCAATTTGGCCTTTTGTCAAACTCGCTAAAATCCTTACAATTTTCCATTTTTCCTGCTTTTAGGACAGAATATCTCCTTTGCTCCATTATATATCCTACCCACTAACCAGTGACATGATGAAGAGATAATCAGTGCTATTAACTTTACCTGTCAGTGGTGAAAACATTGTGCCTGATCGGCGTCACTATAATAAATTTTACAGAAGAGAACACACAGAAGAAGCCCCATGTTGTGCGAGATACTAGGATGACTACACAGACCTGAACTGTGACTATTTCATGTGGTTCACACAGTCTGTGTAGTCAAGGACACAATAAAAGAAAAAAAAGATAATATTTTGCTTTTAGTGTCGCCTAAGAGCCACCAATTCTCCCCGACACAGCCCAGAGGCTCACAAATATTTTGATATTTTTCAGATGGCCTTACAAGGATACTTTATAAGGAAATATATATATATATATATATTTTTTTAGCTTTAATTATCCATCTAGATGATCTCAGTATGAAGCTTCCAGGTTTTTTGTTTTGGGTAACACTACAACTAGGCAACCAAGTCATGATAACTAAAAAGAGACATTGCTAAGATGCACTCCTGTTTTAGTTAGCAGGTGTAGACAGCAGAAAGAAAACAGTTCCGGTATTAAACTTCCTACATAAAGGTTTGTGGATTTTCTTTGAGTAACCCGGTCAATAATTTCTAGACCATTTTTTTCCGAATGTATTTTTTGGCATTTTAACATCAAAAATCCTTTTACTTTATGCTTTTACAAAGAATGCAAATGTGTCTACAACACAAACACCAAAACAGCCTTGATGCATAAATGGCAGCACAGACCAAAGACATAACAAACTGACAGTGGGATAAGCCGTCTCTTTTGAAAATACAGAACTACTGTTGCTGCTACTACCCTGGATTACTCACTGTAGAAATCAAAGTTTTTTAAAGTTTAAAACAACACTAGAAGGGTTTTTGGCACAAACAGTGCCTTTTTAGTAACACATTTATAAACCTAATGAAGAAGAAATATTGTCTTTGCAGAAATGCCACATTAGTAAATAATACTTTTAAAAAAAACTTCCACGTGGCTTTGTCCTAAACGTGTTCTAAATATGAAGCTCTCACTTTTTAAAGTCAGTGTCCATGAACAGCTGCTGATGTAAGCGGTCTTCACTCCCCTAACCGCCAAGCATCTGTGGCATACCACATTATCAACCAGCCACAGCGAGGGTCACTTGCTTTGTTAGTGTGTGTGTGTGTGTGTGTGTGTGTGAGAGAGAGAGAGATGATCTTCTGTCACCCTTCCTCTCTCACTCTCCCTCTGTTGCTCGACCCTTGGGGTTGAACCAGCTCATTTTTGGAAGAGAGTGAGATATGGGAAAACGGCAGAGATAAAGAGGAACTCCGAGAGAGGGTGTGTCATGAATTATTTATGACCTTCTCCTTCTGGTGCCTTACGTTTCACAGTAAGGCTTTAAGTTTAACTATTGCTTCAAAGAACTTCCTGCTTTCAACGTCTCTTTCTGTTATTAAGCAGAAGAAAAAAAACTAAACAAAAAAACCTCAAACCTGCCCTTCATTAAACGAAAACTCACAGATTCATGTCCCAGTTATTTAGATTAGCACTGAATCAGCACCTGGGTTTTGGTGTCAGTTTCAACAATAAGTAAATAAACAATTTCATTTCATTTAATAAAACTCTTAAATATAGCAGAAAAAAACTTTATACAACTAAAAGCTGTCAATAGAAGAAGTAATAATGATCTACGGAAGAATGTTTGCATGCAAGACCACTACATTAACCAACTCTGACCGTTTGATTAAAACATTTTTAACCTCGCAGCTCTCTGTTAAGGAGTCAGAGTAATATCTGACTGTGCCAGTGTGAGAACTGATGGTCTTCATCTCACAGCAATTTCTTTAACTGGAGGACCACGCTGGTACAGATAGCCCAGGGTCACACACTGGATAAATTAAATAAAATGTGAAACACTAAACTCCAGGAATTTGGGCGACATGACAAAATAACTTTTACTATCACATATTTGCCAGAAGGCCTGAGTCTTCACTTCAAAGAACAAGAACCTTCTGTTAGAAAATATTTAATAATTTGAAAGGAATTTATTTGGTCGGTGCGTAGTTATAGTGAAAACGCTTTCTAATAATACACTTCAAACCGTATTGACTTTCCTCATGTACTCATAAGCACCACTGCATGAAATGCAAAGAACTCAGAGACGAATCTTGTTTATACAATAATAATAAATTCAGAGGTTCAAGGCAATAAAATTAGATATTCTTTTTTTTAATCAAGTTAAACAATAATACAGACTCATTACAGCTGTTCCTCTTCAGCTGTACCTCTAAACCTCATCCCACATTTATCAGGAAGGCAGAAAACACTTTCTCACAGTGCTGTATGTATATATTTTTCTTTCTTACAACATCAAAGCTGCTATGTTAATGGATGAAGTGGGTGTGCTCATGTTTGTGTCTGCACAAACATTTCAAGATTCCTGTTCGACTTAATTTTCACCTCCCAGAAACGCCCTGCCTGACAGCTGATGAACAGTACGTGTGATTTTTCTCACACAGGCGAAAACAAAAAATGGCCACAGTCTGTTTCTTTTTTTTAAAATTATTATTATTTTCTCTTGTTTTTAATGTTCTGTGTATTTGTCTACTTCAGTTTTGTTTGTGTTGGTTTCCTCATCTTCCCTTTCTCTTGTTTCCTGTTTTATTTTTGGTAATGACTTTTGCCAAAGGCATTCGGAGGATGGAGGAAAGAGGAAAGAGGAAACTTCAGCCTGCTTGAAGATAATCAAACTTTCTGCCTCTCATTATTTGTGTCTATAAAGTTAATAAAACGTATATCTTGTCACTTTAATTAGAAGTGGGGGCGATCGTGGCTCAGGAGTTGACAGTTCGTCTTGTAATCGGAAAGTTGCAGGTTCGAGCCCCGGCTCGGACAGTCTCGGTCGTTGTGTCCTTGGGCAAGACACTTCACCCGTTGCTTACTGGTGGTGGTCAGAGGGCCCAGTGGCGCCAGCGTCCGGCAGCTTCGCCTCTGTCAGTGCGCCCCAGGGTGGCTGTGGCTACAATGTAGCTGCCATCACCAGTGTGTGAATGTGTGTGTGAATGGGTGGATGACTGAATGTAGTGTAAAGCGCTTTGGGGTCCTTAGGGACTAGTAAAGCGCTATATAAATACAGGCCATTTACCATTTAGCCACTTTATTATGTACACCTTGCTAATAGGTAGACTGCCCTTTGTCCTAAGAGCAGCTTTAATCCTTCATGGTATAGACACGATGCTGGACCCATTCCTCACAGATTTTATTCGACTTTCACATGATAACAGACTGCACACTTGTTGGCTGCACAATAAAGCAAATGACCCATTCCACCAGATCCCAAAGGTGCTGGATTGGATTGAGATCTGGTGACTGTGGAGGCCATTTGACTGTAGTCAACAAAATAAAAACAGAAAAAAGCACTTAATCATGATGTGAACCTTGTGACATGGTGTATTTATTGTGTATTTATTATTCTTACAGTCACTTAACTCACTTTTTTTATTTATTTTTTACCTAAATAGTGAAATAAAAAAAACAATCCAAGAAATACTGAAAATACAACTCTTCAATCTGAAATGTTGAAAAAGTATGAAGTAGCATAGCAAGCACCTGAATACTATATTTAAGTAAAGTACTTGACTAAATCTACTCTCCAGCATTGTGTGGCTGAAGTTTCTATCATGCGCTGAAGAACGCAGCCCTGAGAGTTAAACATTGAACTGTTTGCTGTTTTAACCAGAGATGGACTGCATGCTCTAATACCTGCCATTGTGTCCCACAGTGTGATTTGCATTTACAACAGATTTCATACATGCGTGGCACATTTCACCTTCTGTTTATGGGCTGCAACACATACAAAAGATGGAAGATCGTACTCGCAACAGAAGGTCTTGTAAGCTCTTATTTCCGTAGGCAGGAGGAACAGCACAGTGCAGCACAGCATGTTGGTACAGAGACACTCAGGGGAGAAAAATACTCTAACCTGCTCTCTGTGGGGGCTCTCCAACCGTCTCATCAGTGCTTCTTGACTCTGATTGGCTATGTCTCACCTCAGAGAGGAGACAGGCTTCAGGGGACTGTTACTCTGAGTAACTCTTCATTAGGCTGCAAAAACTAGGGTTGTGCCCGAGGCACACCAAAGACAAGGCAAAAATTTCAAAGCCACCTGTATGCATATCTGCAGAAAATAACTTTTACATTGTCTGGAATGATCTCAAAGACAATTTGATTGTATTCTCAGTAGAAAGCACTTTTGACACCTATAATTTTTTGCTGAGCAGGACTAGCTTACACTTTCACACAAACATACATTCTTGCTACCCAAGGATCTGATGCTGAGATTACAGACGACAGTGTCTCATTCTCGCTCTCTGATGTGAAGATGAACAATAAAAGGAAAATGACAGAGAATGACTTTGATCTACTAAAAATGACCCAAGGTATGTTGGTTGTGTCACACTAAATGAACATATAATCGCTTGAACATAAAAATGTGTAATCACGTTGTGCACAGGTGCATGCATGTCAGCCTACAGGGAAAAAAGATGATTTCTAAACAATGTGATCAACTGTTTAAAATGGCTTTAAATATGTGAGCAATATTTATACAATCTACAAGCTCAACCACTGGAAAGGGTGCAGTTTTGACTGTTTTCCCACTCTTAAACTAGTCGATCGGTCAAATTCTTTTCTCCTGTTAGAGGAAAGCAAAAACCTCTGAAGGCCACTGTAACATTAGCTCTATTCCAGCAGATTTTCATTAAACTGAATGGGGTAAAAAGCCAGTCGCCGTGAGTCAAGTCTTACAGTTGTGCCATGACAAGGAGGTTCTGATATTTGTTGGGATATAGGTTGGGAGATAAATCTGTCATCAGCAAAGAAAGATGCAAAGTTCACATACTCTAATGATCATATCAGTGTTTTTTTGTTTGTTTTTTTTTTACTTGGAGTATATTCTTTTTTTAAATGATGATTTATTTTGGGGCTTTTTTGCCTTTATTTGACAGTTTTGCATTGAAAAGCAGACAGAAAAGGGTAGAATGAGCAGGGGAGGACACACAGCAAAGGGCTGAAGGTCAGCCTCAAACCTGGGTCACTGCATTTCAACAATAAGGTACATGGGAACCTGCTGAACCAGTGAGCCACACCTGCAGTATGTCCACTGCTTTCAAGATACAGGTTTGGTCTTACTGTCGTGCAGATCTAAGCAGCATATCCTTAAGTTCTTTCATAGAGTGCACATACAAATAATGAGCAACAGCTGCCTAGAAAAAAGAGCAAGTGTATGCCAATGGTTTTTAACCTCTCTAGAAGTGTGATAACCCATCAGAGTGTGAAAATATTGATTTACCTTTCTCGGCAACAGACAGCGTGCTGTTTAAGTACTGTTCCTCCACATTATATGCTGTGCTGTTTGCTGTGTTGGAGACCCCACAGGAGCCATGACAGTTGACCTTGATGGCTGCAGAGAGAGGACAGAAAAGAAGAGTCAATCTTCTGTCTTAAACAAATAGTTTATGATCAATCACAAAGTGTAAAAAAAAAAAAAACAAAGAACCCCACCATTGCTTTGCTTTGCTACTGAAATCTCCCATTCAATTTAATTCAGGATTCTTTAAGTTGCATGTCTATGTTGTCTAGTGCCTGTGGATAGATTGTGATCAACACGAAAAGGCTAGCCAAAGATATGACACCAACTTGCACAATCCAAAAATTAAATTAGCTAGTTTGAACCATTATTCAAACAAATTAACGTTTGTCTATGTGGTTCTGAATTAAAATGTTCTGCTTTGAGGTTTGTTGTCTATACGTAGCTTCCATTAACCACACAAGGTGAATGTCAGCGAGTCTTGCAGCAGTCGCTGTCTGTGAAAGTGCTGAACCTCGGCCTTGACTCATTTCATTGTATTTCTTTGGGGCTTTTTGTGTACTGACTTTTTTTCCCTCTCTTTGTGTTTTAAAATCCCAACTAGGGAAAATAAATAAATGCATACACTTCTTTTTATTTATTTAATCTACTAAAATGGATAAAGTAAAATTGTCTCCATGACTTTTTAGTTGACAGAAATCTAAACTGCCATCAGAAAGCAGCCAGTGTTTATACAAGACAGGATTTTGGCAATCGTTTTCCTCTTCTGCTATCCATATGGACTGCTCACCTGCAGGGAGCCAAAGCCCAGTCAAACGTGCCTACAAACAGAGACCATAAAGCTTCCAGTACAAACAAATCTCGTCACTGTCCTTTAGATTTTGCATTCTGCACAAATATCCATTAATAGAGAAGAAATATAACCATAAAACAATTTTTAAAAAAGTGTCCCGTTCAGCATCCATCTGTGCTTCTTGCACTGTATGTTTCGATCTTTGGTGGGTTTGTTTTATGCCTGTCCCGGACCATTTTTCAGCCAAGCAGTGTTTAACCTATGTATAATCTCATTCATGACAGCTATATGCTGTTTTTTTTGGAAGACTGCATGTAAGCACCAGTGCATGGATTTTGAAAATCCCTGTCTTTAGACTCTGTGCAGGGAAACACCTATGTAAACAGACACAACTGCTGTACCATATATAATATGCTGGATAAGCAGTTATGAAAGTAGATGGATGGATGTTCTTGGAAAAAGTCCTCTTATCTTACTGCAGTGAATTCAGGCAACACTGTATAAAAAATACAGACCATCACTGATTAGCATAAGAATGACTCACAAAGAGGGGACACTCTACTAAATCACTGAGGGCCTGTCCTGTTGGTTGTGTGCATTCTGCAGCAGTGATAAATAATCTGTCAGAACAGGCTGTGAAAAGAGTCTGAGTAAACAGATGGCGACCAGAAACCTTATTAGGGAACTGTTGTGAAACTGAAGAGGGTTTTGTATATAAAATGATGGTCGCATCAAGTGTGACTAGTTTGGATTATAGCACTGCTTCTGCTTTAGCAGGCAAATCCACAACTGGGTGTTTGTTGTGATGCAATAGGCTAGATAAATCACAATGTTACAGCACAATGACTGAATGTACCTGGACGAAAAGCAGTTCAACTAAACATCAGCCACAGGATGTTGTAACTGAAAGAAGGTTCCGCTCGCTCAGCGCACAGGAAACCGTGTTATCTTTTCACACTCAATCCTGTATCATTTCTACTCTGCAAAAAAGTTCACACTGATGTGACTGACGTCAGCAACAATCAACTGTCAAGAGAGACAAAAACTGTTTAAGTGATTCTCAGGAACAAGCTGGCCTCAGACTCCAACTCATACACTCAAAAAAAAAAGTGAAATTGGGTAGTTATTACATTTACAAGAGTTTCTATGGTGAACATAATTAAGTTGTGTATGAGCTGCATGAAATTCAACAACTTCACGCTTGTTAAATTTATTGTTGTTGAGATGATGTCACCTAATCAAGCAAGAGTGGTTAGTTGCCTGGACAAGATCACGCAAGATTTCAAATCCCAGGAAAATCACTGGGGCTATAAGAAGCAGAAAAGCATACACACACCACGTGTATGCTATTACTATTTATTGTGCTTTGTGACAGCTCAGTGGTGCGGTGGACAGCACTGTTGCCTCACAGCAAGAAGGTCCCGAGTCCTTTCTTTTTGTATGGAGTTTGCATGAGGAAATGAAAATCCTCTAAAAACATTCACAAACACACACTCAGAAACACTACCACTGCGACAGAAGTTAGAGGATTACACAGAAGGATGGTGCATCTGCATCACCTTTTCATAAAGCAGATAGAAGGGCTAATGTCTCATGGTGACACCCAGCTTTCTTTGCTTTACATTTTTGTCAGAGAGCCACAGCCACTGATCGCAAGGTCGGTGGTCCAATCCCTGGCTCATCCAACCTGCATACTGAAGAATCTTGATTCAAAATAGTTTCCATTGGAGTGGGAATTTTAGGTTACAAAGTGCTCAGGCATATAAAATAACGTATGAGTGAATGAGGCTTATAGTACGAATGCACTTTGTGTCCACAAATTAAGAAGAAAAGCACTGTACAAGCAATAGTCCACTGTACCTTTTCATTCCATTAAAAGTGTAAAACCTAAGCGACTGGCCCTGTTAGATTTGTATTTCTGGCAATGTTGGGAAGTAACTACTACTACTGTACAAATACTTAATTACTGTACTTAAGTAGGAGTTTCAGGTACCTTTAGTTGAGTATTTCCTTCTAACAACTTTTTACTTTTTTACATTTTTAAAACGGGCTCGCTTTTGGTTTAAGTCACTTGAGGGGCATAATTTCACATCACTGCGGGCCTTCAAACATTGATGTGGTTTGAGCCTCAACAGTGAACAACAGGGCTCCAAGACTGGCAGCGGTAGGGTTTCACTACAATTTTTACTTGTGTTATTCAATAGCACAAGTGATAAAACGTTTTTAGCATCTAAACTTAACACATTTTTTGCCAAACCTAAACTAGCAAGCAAAAACCAAAGAAAAACAATAAATAAATAAACCAGATATGAAAGCTCTCAAAGGGATGCAAACCTGGATTTCTTAGTCATTATCCCAGGAAGTTGTACCACCACCACCCCAACCCTCCATGTGTAGAGCCTATTCAACAGCTGCTTTAGTAGCAGCTGGAATATCAGGGTACCATAGGACAGCTTGGGGAGAGGCATCTGACAAAGCTGCATTATACAATGCATTGGGATAAGAACACTTTGATCATGAATGACAGTTGTCAGCACCTACACTAAATCAGTTAAGATCTCCACAAAAAGAGGAAAAAAAAAAAGCATAAACACAGACTCTGCTCTAAACAGACCACAGACTGTTTGCCCAATCACAGGCTCACACACACCCACGCAAGATTCAGCTCTGGTATCTCACAAAGACACACACACTCTCTCTCTTTCTGTCACACTCTCAGAGTGGCAGATGGCTGAGCTCTCCACACCGCCAGGGCTGCTGGCACAGTTTCTGATAAGAGGAAGGGCTTTTACTGTTAAAAATAAAACCTCCAAAACTGCAGCTCACTAAACGAGGTGGTGCCCTTGAGCCATGCAGACTAAGTCCACTTACGGTCATTAATTAAAACTCATTGTGCTCCTCCAGCTATAAGCCTTATTCATGGAAATTACAGACACATTCATTCTCCCCTGTTAACACAAAATGTGAGCAGTTATCACACGTCAGAAATGAAAAGCAGAGTGATATGACAGAAAAGAGATCCACTCATACCATGAGATATTATTTACAGATGTCTGCTGTGGAAACATTAAAAGCTCAGCCTATGAAAGGTCAGCGCACGGGTAATCTGTTAATATTCACAGTAGCAGCAACAGGAAGAGAAGCTGCAGCAGTGCTGAATGGTGAATAATTTTGTTATGAGAGAGAAGCAGCTCTGGCAGTGAGACCGAGCGTCTGCTGCCTGACAATGGGCACGCACGTGGAGCCAGATGGACATTGAGCAAAATTAAGGCACTTAGTACGACACAAATATGTAGACACAAAGATGATGTGTCATCAAGTTCCACCACAGAATCGCAAAAAAATACCTTCAACTTTGGGCTTGTCTGGTCCCTTAAAGGATTTAAAGAGACGAAAAATTATGCAGATATTAGTGACAAATGAAACGATTGCACGATTAATCGTTAGAAAATCGCGATTCGATTCATACTTATGTGCGATCTCATTTCCAAATGACAACGATTTAAAAAAAAAAAAAAAAAAAAAAGACAGACACGATTGTACCGCATTTTGATCCGGGACGTAATCTGCTGAAAACAAGCGCTCACTCTTCCTGCTCAACAAATGACAAGGGCGGAGCCTTATAACACGTGATACAGAAGCTGTGCCGTGTGATGCTAAAATTAGCAGGGAAAACAAGAGACACGTCAGGGATGACGAGAAAGTGACAGGAGAAAATCCGTCCCGGTCAACCACCCAAACATCAATAACGGGAACCTTATACAGCGCTTCCCTATACCCGTCGAACTCCCGCAGGCACAAAGAAATTACGAGGCTATCACTTATCACCTGACCAAAGATATGGCTCCCATCAACACTGTGCAAAACGAGGGATTTAGGAAAATGATCAACACCCTAGACAAACGCTACACAGTGCCGTCCCGCAACTATTTTTCTATTGTTGCACTACCTGCTCTATACACGCAGTGTTGAGCAACGGTGGAGGTGGAATTACAAGCAGTACAACATTTTGCTTCAAGGACAAAATGTGAGACATTTATTGTTTTGTTATGTTTATTTATTGTTTTTATGTTCTGTCGCAACTGTTACGAAGTTGATGTGCAGTTAATAAGTGCAATAAATATTTATATTGGAAAAGAAAATCGTGAGAGAATCGTGAAATAAGGGACACCTCGTGGCCAGGGCCGGGCACCCAGTTGTCTTCACCCTTCCCAGTGTGGTAGCTCTTTTTTTTGTGTGTGAAATTATTTTTTTAACCATTTGACTTGAATTGATTTAAGCAGATGCATTATTCTTTGTG